AAGGTCATCTGGGGACGCTATTTCAGAATCAGCAAGTGGGGACTCATTCATGTCATCCTCAACACGATCCGCTTCGACTGGATCCGGCGGGGGTCGATCTGCGGGGTCTGATGCGGGGTCGCCCAGAACCCCGCCTGATGGTGTGATGGCGGGGTCTCTGACAGAAACATTGGCGGGGGCTGACGCGGGGGTCAACGCGCGGGGGTCAGTAACCAGCCTGGGCTCCACGGCCAGGAGCAGTGGTTGTGGGATTTTTAGTTGACGCCGCCATCTTGCAGAAACTTGTGAGAGAAAGTCGGACTGTTTTTGAAGCTCGTGTTGGAGCACAGAATCTAGCACAAAGAGTGTCAAAGAACATGCACATAAGTTGTGGGAACGTACTTTCATCATTGTGCAATGCCTGAGAAATCAACGAAGTCTCCTGGTTGATCCAGCGCAGCATGTTTTCACTCTCTCTCCCAAGTCTAAGCTCTTCCTCATGACAGCGGTCAAGTACATGCAGACTTGTGATGCCTTCACGGACACGATCATCAGAAAGCCACAACGGGACGGCTCCCTCCGATGGAGAAATCCAGATATCTTCAAAGAGATTTGTGTGAGATTTGAGCTCATTGAGTTTGGTCGGCAGAGGGACAGGAATGGGAACAGAACAATGAGGCGGCTGAATTTCTTCCAGTCGGGAGCAAAGAGAGTTGAACTTGTCAATCAGGCAATGAAGAGTAGGCTGACGCTTCGAAAGGGCCTTCCGGGCCGCTTGGTGAAGCTTCGTACCTGAATTTCCAGTATGAATTTAGAAGGGACACGGCGGGGGCGCAGACGGGGGTGCTGGGCGGGGGTGCATGCGGGGGCAGACGTACCCAGTGGCTCACGGCGTCCTTGAACAGCACGATCCAAGTTCTCCCACTCCAAGAATGTGCCAATCGCTTGCTTACGGATCTGTAGCTTGAGATCCCTCATGAGTAGGAGCGTTTGAACAAATTCAAAAGGGAGTCCAGCCAGTTCTGGATAATGAGTCTCGAGATCAAGTGAAGTGTACAGGTGCTCAGCTTGATGACTGAGCTTGACCTGTGTGGACTGTAGATCCTTTATCGCTTCATGAGCTGACTGCGAGCTCAGTCTGTCTCCGATAGTCTTCTGAAGTTGTTCCAGTGTGTCTTCAATTTCTTCAACTTGGTTTTGAAGGCCGACAATTTTGCCGAGGTCGCGTTGGACACGGACCGGCGGGCCTGCAAAAAAATTGGAAAAAAAGCAATTTCCAGACGGCAGGTGACATACTGGATCGGAGTGATATCTGAGCATTCAATTGTGCCTGCCATTGACCACGCAGGTCTGAGATAGTTACACCCGCACTATTAATCCTCTTGGTTGCTTGATTTGATTTCTGTGGAATGTTTTTATTGCGCTGACGTTCAATCCAGCTTGCCAGATTGGTAATGCCTTCACAATTGACAAATTCGACGTATTCATCAAGGGTGGCTATGCGACGTGAGCCCTGTAGATAATTCAGAAGCATGGAAGGCAGTTGCAATTCGGGGTACCCATTGATTCCGAGTGAGAGGTATCAGCTTTCTGATTCTTGACCACAATCTCTCGACACCTTCAGAGTCCGTGAGACCCATGCCCAACTTCATGCGTGGGTTGTAAACGAGTTGGCAGACCCATTGATGTCCGAAAGCATGCATAACATTGAGGGAGAATGATACCCGAGGCCGTAACTTGTCAGAAAGGATGGGAAACTTCAGAATCTCGTCAGCCATGATCAAGCAATTCAGCGGGGGTGCGGCGGGGTCAGGCGCGGGGTCCATGGCGGGGGTGATGGCAGGGGGGAGTACAGAAGAAGACACATACCAAATGGTTACTCCGGTCAAGAACGCAACCCACATCATAGCATTGCATGATAGTTGCGTTGGGTGGGAGATATGACGCTACTTTTTCCAGCAGTGCAATAATATAGTGCTGCTGCTCTCCTGGAGTATTTATGTCGCACATGAACAAGACTTGTGAGTGGCGGCATGTCAGAGCGAAAATGCCGGTGGAGTCATAACGCTTAGGATCTCCTTTCTGCTTGTTCTCATTTGCCGCTGTCCACGACTCCCCACAGGCATCCACTATCTCTGATGGAATCGGAGAATCTCTGAACGGTTTCGGCAATTTCCGTGCCAAGATCACAGCCTCTTGAACCCTGTGGACTTCTTCATGTGTGAGGAAGTAGTCCTGGTTGAACAAGGATGGACCTGTGCCCGCGGCTCGGAGATGCCGGTAGCTGAAGCAGCCATCGGCACCAAATTGGACGTCACCGCCACTGAAAATCTTCGCGTCAGATCCTTCTGAGAGCGGAAACAAGGGAGAATCGAACGCGGAGAGTGGGCGGCCCCAGTCCTTGAGGGAAAAGCACGAAGGACACCGGCTTTGCAGAAGTCGATGAGCAATACCAGGAGCCAGCAGGGAGACGTTATTGAAAGAGTTGAGACCACTTGCAGCCGGTGTGGCGGGCTGAGGTCCCGCCGTTGAGACTGGCGGGGGTAGCTCTTCAGCGGCGGGGGTGTTCGCGGGGGTGACGGGGGTGTCCGCGGGGGTGACGGGGGTGTCCGCGGGGGTCGATGTCGCTTCTGCCGGGAGGGAGCCGCCATATTCCCTTGCCAGAGCATCAGAGACCATTTTTCGTATGTTCTGTTGAATGCTGCTATATACATGTATGGCCTGTGACAAGGCCTGTCGCAGGGGATCTGTGGCATGTTCACCATCGAACTGGGATATATGTCAGAGATGTTGTACCAAGAAGCACGGTCGAGCAAAAAACTGACCATTTTCAACATAAGCTCAAATCCTCTTTTATTGTATATAGTTCTAAGAGCATTGGAAAGTGCTTGGACTGCAACACAGGAGCGTTCAAATAGCGCCTGGTATATCTCCAGTGCATTCACTGCAACAGCAATCTGAGGTCGGCGAGGTGAGGTGGGCAGTGCACCATGTTTGAGTAGGAGGATTGCAGCAGGAACACAGGAACATATTTGCACCTGGACATTTTGGAAATCTAGTCATTTGTCAGGAAAATCGAGCGAAGTATACAACACGCCATACGTGATATATGCAGAACGAGGACTTGAATCTCTCTTGAGATGCAAAGTTGGTTGCCGCAGCTCTGCTTGATTTGCGAAGCCAGTGATGTAGGTGGACACCCAAAGGATGATTTGCGAAATTCCAGCAAAGAGAGGGTGAGATCCGGCATGAGCTCCGTCCAGACATAAGACGCTTGAGCTGCACGGGGCTTTCTTTGCAAGCCATGAGGTCTTGCAAGAAATTCGGGAATGAATGGCTGGTGTGCTGCCCCCGCACCGGACCCCGCACTTGCCCCCGCACTTGCCCCCGCGTTCGAAACTACCCCCATCTCCACACCTGCATAAACTTCAATGTCTTCCCATGCAGAAATTCCTGAATCATTTTCGTCCATCTGCTCATCAGGAATGGCATCCCCTCCTTCCCACTGCGAAGAACTCTCCATGTTGCTCCCCTGCGAGCTGCCCGGAGCATCGTCTGTTACGGAGTGCGCCGCTCTTGCATCGAGTAATGCATTCATCTTATTCATCAGCTGACTGGCGCGAGCATTACGACCGATGGGTATGGACAGGACATTCCGGAGCTTATGCCTGCCCTTGACAGGACTGGTTGGTCGAATACTCTGCGGCTGTTTTCTTCGCTGTGCCTTTTTGGGGGGCATTCTAAAAGAGAGGGAGAGGTGAAAAGAATGGGCTTCCTTTGAATTACTGGGCATGTACATAAAAGAAGTGCGCGGCACCCCCGCCACCGGCACTCCCCGTGAAATAAGAATTGTGACACCCCGCCAAACACCCCGCCAAACACCCCGCCAAACACCCTGCCGAATAGGAGGGGATCTTTTGAAGCACTGGACCAGTCCAAAGATGCCGTTTCCTTTTCCTTGGCTCAAAAATGCACATATTCCATACTAACCGCTATTGGAGGGCGAAAACAGGATTTTTACCCGCCCGCCTTTTCTGCCGATCACGTGATTATGCGCCCGACAACCCGCCGCAACGTGCAATGTAACTGACAGGCACAGAATTGAACATGCCAAATGGCTGAAAAAATATTATTGAAAGGTCACGTGAGTGTCCGCCCACTACCCGCCGCAGTGTGCGGGAGGGGCGGTAGCGACCCCGCTAACACCCCCGCCAGCCCCCGCCAACATTTTTAAAAAAAATTGTTTGCGCAGCACGTGACACCTTCCCGCCGCATCCCGCCCATCTGGTGCCTCACGTGATTGATTTTTTTTTCCCGCCCAGCTACCCGCTCTTATGGACAAGTCACATGGTATGTATGGGCACCCCCGTCCTGACCCCCGTCCTGACCCCCGCCCATCCCCCTGCCCCAAAATGGCCAGCTGCCATCTGTACCCCCGCGGGGTCTATATGGGGGGTTGGCGGTGGTAACTGAGGTGGCCTCTCAACACCCCCAGGCCAACCAGCGGTCACTCTCCCTGGGGAGCGGGTATCAAGTGGTTCTTGTTATACCTACGAGCACACTGTATTTCTACTCTGTGACGACAGATAGTCATACAACGTGCTGCTACTTCGTGACAACGAGGCAGCGCACACCAACTGCCCCCTTCTTGCTTACTCCTTGATAGACGTTCGGAGTTATGTGCTGAAAAGCTCGTCGGATAAGCAGCTGGGGGTCCAAGACGAAGGCGCGTATTTAGCTCGTACCTAGCGCTAGGATAATCTTGGGAACACGGTGTTCAGTGATTGGACCATGCCGTGTATAATACTATCACTATCACGACCGCGTCTGGTTCCCGGCACGTTGGCGGAGGGATCATCCATGCAGTACGCCACCGCGCGGCGCAGCGAAGTGCAGACCGTGTCCATTTCAAAGCTACATTGATTTCGAGTCCAAATGCTCCGTGCGCTACAGATACAGTGTGTGCCTACATAGTGATGTCCGCGATCATCATCTGTCCAGAAGTTGTTGACTGTACTCGTTTAACAAAGATTCAGGAGCCAAACAGCGCCATCGAATCCCACAGAACCATCGTCCTTCTGGACAAGTCCACCGAAGCGGGTATATCCCTCCAGCAAGTCCAAGCGGGTCATCCCGAGCTGCCAGGGCCGTGGCTTCGTCCCCTTCCCCGAGCGCCAACGGAGAGAATTTCCGAGAACTTCTTCCTCCCACTCCCTACGCGAGACCAGCATCCCAAGATCACGGGATATTGCAGACAAAACGTCCATCACGCTGACACCAAGCGCCAGCGACGACGCATGCGCGACGACGAGCCACGGCAGCCGGGGGACGGCGATCGTGAGTGACGGCAGGGCCGGGATCGTCGCTGATTGCCGCACGGATATCATCTGATCCCAACAGTGATCGTCAGTCGTGGGAAGCAGAAACGCGAAATCGACAAGGAGAGCGGTGGAAGGAAGATCAGAGGATCGGGGCCGCAGCGCCAGGGCTGGGTGCAGCGATAATAGGCCAGGGTAGCATGTCTGTGGAGGGAGCGGGATGGTCGTGCGACGGCTCGGCGCGGGCGGCGCAGCTGCAGCGGTCCCAGCCCACATCCGGAATAAGCGGGGGAGATGAATTTGAGTATGAGGGAAAAAGATAACCGGCGACTGAAAAGTACAATATCAGCCAAGATTGGGCAGCCACACTATTCGAACCCGTGCATGGGGCCGGGGCAGGAGTAAGCAAGGAGAGGGTCGAGAGAAAGTGAGGGTAGAGATAGTCTACGGTGCGGGATATCATATATCACTCATTGCTCGTTCCCATTCCGGCGATACCAGCCCGCACAGGACTGAGCTTTGTTCGACATTCGACTCGACGGACCGATCAGTATCATCCGGTTGCGAGCGAGCACGTGACACAATCTGAATCACATTTTGATCAGCGAGACAATGTAAGTAGATAGGTAATACTGGGACTCGGAGCCCGATGCACACAGTATCAAGTCTGAGACCCAATCAACCAAAATTAAACGCTCTCGCCGCTCCACCCCAGTGGCTGCGCCGCCGGCATAAGCTGGGTGGCCGATTCCGCCTGCTTTCCGAATCCAAATTCAAGATCGGGCGATTGAGCCTGCTTTTTCGCCTCCCGAGCAGCCTTCTTCTGAGCGCGCGACATCTTGATCTTCTTGGGGAAGTCGCTGTCGGGGCCGACGAGCACGCGCCCTGGGTGCACGGCGTTCCACGCGAAGATGACGGAGAGCATAGGCAGGGCGTCGAGGACGTAGAAGAAGGCTTCGTGTTCTGTGATGGGGGAGTCGAGCCCGGAAGAGAACTCGACGAGGCGATAAATGATGCGGATCTGTTGTGGTAGGATAAGATATGTTGAGCAAATCAGGTGTGCCATTACCCCGGTCACGTACCGTGATGAGTGAGAGAGACATGTAAGTGAGGTAGAGGGGCCATTTCCAGGATGCAGAAGTCATTCCACCGTCTGTGAGACGCTTCATGACGATGTGGAAGCGGATGACGAGACCCGTGAATCCCAGCACGAAGATCTCCTGGAGCCCAATGCCTCCCATGTAGATGTGGATGCCGAGAAGGGCACTCGAAGGATCGCTGCCACTGATCATCGAGCCGCCGGTCGCTTGCATGAGAAAAGCTCTAACGTGTGCAATCATTGGTCGGCAACGGCAGATGGTGGGCGAACAAAAAGCACACGCACGTAATGTCGAGTAGCACGAAGATCAGCGACAAGCGCCTCGCGCTCACGCCCGCGATCTTCTTCTCCGGCATGTAGAAGTGGACGAAGCGCGCCATGAGCATGTACAGGAACGCGTTCACCCACAGCGGCGCGAGCAGGATCAGCAGCTGCGACGGCAGGCCGAACGCGAGCGACGTCGTCGCGACCACGTTGAACACGCGCAGAACGAGCCCCGCGGTCTCCCATGCGCCCGCCATGATGAGCACCCAGCAGAACGCCTTGCGGTACATGATCGCTTGCACCACGTGTACGAGGGTCGTCAGGCCGAAGAGAACCGAGAAGAGGATCGCGGCGGGGAGCGAAGGACAGTACATGAAACTGTAGTTCGCATTGCTGTTGGGGTCTGGGGTATATAGACTCAGCGGTGGCACTCTGATAGCCTGGAGGAAACCACCACGAACCCATGCATACTTCCTTGAGCTGCATATTTGCCTGAGTGATTCGGGAAGAGAAGAGGATGATGAAAGGGTAAAATGAAAAGAGAAGGTGAATAACGAGCCTCAAACGTGCATGGGCAAGACTTTATACGCAAGTATCGCTCCTGCAGGAACTGTCATTACCCGCTGCGCAGCCCAACCCATTGGGCATGGAATAGTGAATCCCCCATACGTACAACGAGACCGCAGTCCCCCGCAGCACCCACAAAGGGCATTTTTGACCGTAGATACCGGGACACAGGGCCAGGGATGTGATTGATGTCAATCCTGTGTCCACATCAACAACCGGTTCCATACTCAAAGCGCACACTAAGCCGTCTGAAGCCCAAGAAACGCGGGGGTGAGGGGAGCGGCGCGATCAAGAAATCTCCTCGAGCTGGTGCTTTGGCGATCAGCGAGTCTATCGATTAGTGATAGATGCTCTTGCAAACTCGAGGTGGAAACCATGTCACGTGAGCTGACGCGTGAGCTGACGGATGGTTAGTTGCTGATCCATCAAGCCCGAGCACAGCTACGAATTAAGGGTGATGCAGGCTTCATGTGGAGCAGCAGGGATCGCATGAATTTTATAAATAAGATCAAGATCTGGATGGTCGAATGCATCACATGTGCACCCAAGTCCACGTCGGCAGGGAGATTTCCCCGTGCTAATAGAAATGTACTGTTGCGGGAATCTTGGGAAAGACTAAACAAGAAACGAGACCGAAAAAGATCAAACCAGATGGATAATGCTCCTGCCACAGTTACCAGGGAAGAATGAAACCTAACCTTAGTCCGAGACAGTGATCCCCTGGGCGATGAGGCCGAAATTGGGGCGTTTGACGTGAGCACTGAGCACTATTCGCTACAGACCCCGCGTCTGCTGAGAAATAACTTACGAGACAGCGTCTGGACCGCTCCACAAAACCGGCCCTAGACACGCATGCCGGCACAAGTTATCAGTACAGCGAGCGGGCGTATTTCTAGCATGACGCGTGATATCACAGATCCTTCTTCCTGAAAACCCATCTCGGTACCCCGTCCTCCTGCACGACCCACTCGCGCTCGAGCGCATACCCGCCCCTCCGTGGGAGCCAGACGCTCCAGACGTACCAATACGCGACCCCGACGAGCCCCAGAGACATCGCGACCACCGCATGGAGCTAGTCGGTTCGTTCGCTCAGTTCAACGCAGAGATAAACGGCAGCGAGTGGACGTTACGTACGTAATAAGGGAGAGCCTCGTAGACCTGCTTCCCGGACGGCGGCGGGACGAGCGGGACGACGATGAGGAACACGTTCGTGAGGCAGAACGCGGCTGTGATGGCCCAAGGCGCGCGGAAGGGCGGGGACCAGTTGAAGTCCCTGTATGCGGGCGTGTAGAGCAGCAGCAGCCCGAACGAGACGAAGGTGTTGACGAGGGCGAGGGAGTACGACGAGGCTGGTCAGATCGGGGTGAGCGTACTCGTGGTGTGCGGAAACGGGATTACGAGGCACGTACTGCTGATCATAAACAAATACACATCGCCGGGCGGAGGACCCAGAACAAATGCACAGGATACAAGGTACTGAGTGAACAGCCCAGCAAGCGGCGCGCCGAACGGCTTGTTGCTGGCGAAGAAGCCAGAGTACGGGAGGATGCCCTCGCGACCGAGTTCCTGGATGACTAGCCAGGGAGATTCAACCCCTGCGCATGTGCCCGAATATGATGCAACTACCTCTGCCTTGTGTGAATTGCCCGGAAAGCAGATTGCCGAGCGTTGACAGAGCGACGAAGACACTCAGAGCCTAGGCAGATTTAGATGCATCCTTCCATCTGCAACTCTGAGACACTAACCCGCTCAGTCGCTGGTCCGAACAGATTCCGGAAAAACAGTGCTCTGTGTTTGATCGTATCAAGGACTCAATAACAAATTGAAAGACCCACGCGACGATGCGTTTGCTCTCCAAAATATCACCCTTCGAAACGACTGCAAAGTACGCGATGTTCACCAACAAATAGGCGATCGTGACCGCGGCCATGGCCAGCGGTGCAGCGCGCTTGATCGTCCGCACCGGATCGCGCACTTCAGACAGCGCGTAGTTGGCGTTCGCATATCCGATAAACGACCTACACAACGTTCAAGTTGCCTGAAACACGAATAATCACGTACCAAATGATGCTGTACAGCGCCGTCACCAGCCCATTGGCCCCAGTGCTCCCCGTCCCGTCCCATATCTGTGACCAGCCCGCGAAGTTGTCCGGCTTGTCGTACCCGTCGCGCACGGCGAAGCCCGGGACTCCGAGGAGCGAAAGTAGACCCAGCAGCGCAATTGAGGCCAGGATGATCAGTTTGAAGACGCCGAGCGCGTTCTGCAGGCGGACGCCGGTCTGGAGGAGTGTGCCGTGCATCCCGAGCACGAATGTAAGGACCAGCACGGCCAGGAGTCGGGTCAGGAATCGTGTGGGTGTGATTGCAAGCGCGTTCAGCAGGTCTGATTGTGGTTGATTTCTTCCGTAAGATATGCAGACTAATACTCACATTCTCCGAAGACAATGCTGTTGGCTGCGGCCGTGCCCTGTCGCGAAGTCTGAAAATAGACCAATCAAACTGAGGCTGCGAACGCACTATGATCAGGGTATACACAACAAACGAGCAGCTGACGAGAAAACGCGGCTTCCGGTAGATGAACTCCAAGTAATTCTTCTCCCCACCATTACGCGGGAGCCCAGTCCCCAACTCGACGTAGACGGCGGTGCCGAATGCGGCGATCAGCGCGCCCAGAAGCCACATCAGCAGAGCTACTCCTACGGAGCCTGAGTTGCGCAGGATGACCGACGGTGTGGCGTAGATGCTGTGATGAATCAGATGTAGGCAAACAGGCTTTTATTGCGCCGCTAAGCACGCACCCAGTCCCAATGACGCGATTGAAGACTAGGAAGGCCGCACTGGTGAGTCCTGGCTCTTCTCAGTAGTGCACTACATTCAGAAAGATCAAAAACACACCCAGCTGTCTTTTCTCCTTCGGAACGTTGTCGAAACCCTCCCCCGTCTCTATCCGAGCGCGTCAACAGCTTATCGGTAGGTACGGGGCTAACTCGCACCGTCGTCGCTTCCCGCTCGCGTGACCGACACGACCTGGTCGCGGTGGTCGGACTCAGTCGTTGTAGTCCCGCAGTATCCTGGATCTTCTGCAGCCGGCAGCAGCGGCGCGGTCTCCGACATAACGGGGTAGAAGGAAGACGTGAAGCTGTGCACGTACATCAGCGGTCACGTGTCATGTCTCAGGGTGGCAATGCGCCGCTCAGACCCTTCTTCGCTACCACCACCACTACCACCATCAAGAGCCCCACTCATCAAGGCGACTGCTCACTCTAACCCCCGTGAAACCCACCCAAACTACATCTGCCGACGCGATGGTCGTGCTGCTGAGCCCCTTTGAGAGCAAGCTCCGCTCGCATGGGCACATCATGTTCTTCGCGTACCTCGTCGCCCTGCCACTGGGCATCCTCCTCGCGCGCTATTTGCGCACCTTCACCAAGTCGTGCGTCCTTTCGTCCCTTGCTCCCCAATCTCATCCCACGGCGTGGCGTGGTTCTCGCACCGCATTTGGTAGCCCGGCTCTCAGTCCAACGCTAAACATAATTCCGCAGCTGGTTTTGGCCGCACGCGATCGTCAACTTCCTCGTCACCGGTCCGCTCATCTTCGCCGGCTTTGCGCTCGGGTATCAGGCTGTCGAGGAGACCGCGCCCGGGACGCATTTCAACGATCCGCATAAGGTTCGTGCTCCTGTTTTTACGCTGCGCTATTTTCGGTCGTACTCACACGCGGGCGTAGAAATCCGGCCTTGCTCTGCTCATTCTTTACCTCCTGCAAGTCCTCCTCGGCGCGTTCATCCACTACGTCAAGCCTAACGCGACGCGCAATACCCCCGGCGGACGCACCCCGCAGAACTACCTGCACGCGATCTTGGGCCTGTCGATCGTCGCGCTGGCCTCATGGCAGGTCTGTGCCCCGCTCCTATCTACACATGATCACATGCTGATTCCGTGCGGCAGACGCACTATGGGCTGTGGACCGAGTGGGCGCTGGCAACGGGCAACGCGAACCCCGTCAACTGGAAGTGCAAGCATTTCTGGCTTGGAATCGTTGTGGTGCGCACGTTTGTCATGCAAAGCGAAACGCTGATGGGCTGACGGCTGACAGGGGATATGGGCGCTGTATGCTGTTGGACTTGGACTGCTGCCTCGGCAGCTGAGGCAGGAAGCCAAGGGTCGCAGGGAAAGCAAGACTTATAAATAAGTTCTCCTTCCTTGTTTACGAATGTGTGTCTCCCTAGGAACTTGTATGCATGTACATACTGCTAACGATCAGCTTTGTATTCGCACGTGGTGACAACTTCAGCTCCGGGGCCGAATCAGGAGTGAATTGCGAGGATCGATAATTGCTAGCACTGATTCGATTCGGACGAAATTTGTATGGCGCGTATTACAGGACATGTTCTCTGACATAATATTCGACTGCTCCATCGCGCCCCGAAACCATAGAGTGTGCGCCCCGAGCGCTTGAGCGCATAAAAAGCATCGAGCGACGGAAGGTTTTGACTGCACAACGCAGTCAATACCGTATATTTATCTGTCTGTACTCGTGTGTGCTAGGTGCTAAATGACTAGATGAGATGTCGAAGGCAGACGGGGGAGGAAGTCTCCCAGATAGTGCTGGTGTGAGGGAGCGAGATTTAAGCACAGGAATCCGCCTTTTATACCGTCGCGATTTCTCGTTACTTGTATTTGGCTGATGGACGGTGGGCGATAGAGCACTTAGAGGATGGTCGGAAGATTAGATTAGATTGCGTCATGATCCTGCAGTGAGCTCGTGAGAATCAGGATGCCGCTGCTGCACAGCCACTAGGATCCACGTGAAAGAAATTTCAGGGGAACCGAGAGAAGTCGTATTTTTTGGACGAAATCGAAATGGATGCCTCTCGATCGATCGGGCAAACTCCTTGCTCTTCCTTGTTGCAAATTAGTAGCCCTTCCTGTGAAAGCATCCCTTACTGCGGTCGTAATGATCCTCAGCGCTCCGGTGACCTGATCCGAATTTGCACATGCAAAATCACCCATTACAAACAACACCCGTGGTATTCAAACAGTCCAATCATCCCCCTGACTCCGTCTCTGCTCGACCACGGCCGGCTCGTGCACGAACGTCGCCGTCGTGGGGGTCTCGATTTCCCCCATCAGTCGTCGCCCGCTTGCCAGTGCGATGGCATCCGCCTCCACGTCCTGCCCCGCCGCGTCTTGCTCGTCTGCGCCAGCGATGGGGGGTATGGATATGTGACTGAGGTGGATCGTGCCGTCGAAGACACCCGCGTCGGCCTTGCGGTGCAGGTTGAGCATCAGCCGCGCCATCAGTGACACCGAGACGCTGGAATATCACATGTTTAGTTCGCTCGTGTAGAGATCGATGCGGTTGCATGCGCACCAGCTGGCGAAGGTCGACATCGAGCCGCGAAGGAGGGGCTGGAAGTAGCTCGTCAACTCGGAAGCAATGAGATGCAGTGATTCATACCCCGCCCAGCTGATGGACCATCAGCCCAGCGAAACAAACGGAATAAAAGACAATGGAACGCACGTAAAACGTGATGATGTTGGAGAAGTTGATCAAGGCGAGAGCACTGGAGAACATTGAATGACGTCCCATCGCTGTACAATGACGACGGGATTTACCCGAAATAGAGCACGCCTGTAGAATCACACATCTCATTTCAGCTTTGAGGGCTCACACACACACACAAAACGCCTCACCGTCGCGGAAGATGAGAGCATGTATCGGAAGGTGTTCGGGAGATCCCGCCCTCCGCCACGTCGAGTACGTTTTGTAGATCGTCAACCCGAAGATCACCGAGTCGTACATGAAGAGGGCGAACCACGCCCCGACGACGTCTGCGGTCACCAGCCCCATCAGCAAGTTTCTTCAAAAAGCACCGGGTGAATGGGACACGCACGATTTGACGTTCGACGGGACATCAGCAGATTGCACCCGCCGGAGAGCATCGGCGCGGGCCGCGTCTTCTGCCCGACAAGCGACCACGCAATGAGCGCGACGAGGGGGATGCACACCGCGATGAGCCCGGCGAGCACGCGGCGGGAGCGGTTGTACAGTGCGTAGATGCGGAGGAACATGACCACTGTGACGCGGCCCCATCAATATGCCGCCGATCGCCGCACAGAGAAGGGACACCGGACGTACTGGCTACGAGCGCCTGCATGAACACGAGCACGAGCTGGTGCAGGATGTGGTACGCATAGCACCTGTCGATCGATCATTCAGCCACACACACCCGGTCTTCCATCGATCCAGGACCCACCACTGGCAACCCATGACCAGTCAGCACGGAGCAAGTAGACAGACAACAGGGAGGTACCGCGGACGCACCTCGGGAGAAACAGTCGGGTAGAACATGCCCAACGTGATGAGTAGATTCCCGACGAACGCAGTGTACCGGATTGCGAAGAACCAGTACGCGCTCTTGGACCGCCGCGCAGGGCGTAACCACAGGATGTGGATCTCGTCCCCCAGCATGAGGATATGATCCCAGTACAGAATCACTGCAAAGCAGCTCTCAGATGGCCGTCCAGGATACGAGGACAGGGGGACGGGAGGTAGAGCACGCACCGATGCCCACGATGTGCAGCACGTTGCGAATCCCGACATCCCATGTCAGCTGCGGCTGCGCGGCTTCGACCATGCGGCATGGAACGGACTAGGAAACGGGGGTCAGCAGGCGGCCGTCGAAAGATGTGGAAGAGGGGTGAGGGGAGGGGAGGGAGAAGGGTGCGGCTCTCTGGAGATGAGGCCGACGACGGTCTGTCATCGGAGAAAGCGAAGTCGTGATCGGGACCTTGGATTTGGCATTGTGTCATCCCCCGCTCCACTTTGGCGTGTGATCGCTTCCTGTGGCCATAAGGTTTCCGAAGCGTTCTCGAGATAGGGGTAACGCCCAGGAGTAGGTTGCTGGAAGAGAGACGAAATGTGCGACCAGCCAGAGTCGTTCATGACCTGTGTTTCTCCAGCTGAGAGCTGTTTTCCTTCGCCGAATATGTGTATCACAAGTGCCTACTTGTTATTTTTGACCGATTCACACGGCAAAAAACAGCGGGAATCGGGATATAACATGCTGCTGTAATTTACTCTGTCAAAACAAACACAGGGCTAAGCGCAAGGCCAGGGGCGATGAGATTTGATTTTCATCGGCTAGAAATACATCTATAAGACCCGTCCACCGACCTCACTCCTCGTGCTCAAAGTCCCATGGACTGACTGAGTCCAGTTCCACGGTCGGCCGGCCCGTGCCATACCGCCAGTGGTCGATCGTCGCATTGGACGAGAATATGCCCTTGACGGCGTCCACCTTGTGGAGGTTGATCATGAGACGGGACATCATTGTCACCGAGAGGCTAGACGTGGGTGTGTTAAGTAATCGGATATTTGTAGAGAGGGGAGGTGGCGCACCAGCTGGCAAGCGTGGATACACATCCCTTAATGATAGACTACGAAGCCAATCAATGGAAGCCGTGGCCATTCAGGTGTGATTGACTTACTCGTGTAAACTGCGGGAAACGTGTGAGCAGGCGAGCAGGAGGAATGGAGGAAACGTACATAAAAAGTCAGAATGTTGGCCAGATTGGTGAGCGCCATCACGCTATCCAAATTCAGGCCCGTGGATCGGAGACCCTCGTCATCACTCACACGAAGTATATCGCACCTGGATCCTCAACGTCAACACAAGATCTACTGTATCATGCCCAAGGACACGAACCATCACGGATCAACAAACTGAACAGCGGAAACTCTCCATCCCTTGGTGCGATCTGTAGCCGGACGTTCTCTTCCCTCCGGGCTCGGATAGATCGTGCAAAGAGGGCAGCAAAGATGAGCCAGTCGTAGACGAATAACGCCTCCCAGGGTACCACGAGGTCTGTTGGGCAAGCTTCAGCGCCCTGGATACCTACGAGATGACTGAACGAAGCGACGCACGGACGGCCACTTTCTCCGATACACCGGTATGGCAGCCACCCGCAGTGTCGTCCGGAAGAGGTGTGCCTCGACTGCCGCTGACGGCCCACTGTGCGTGGTATCGGATCAGAGCGAGATGGAGGCGAGAGAAGAGACTCGGAACTCACCACCGAGATGGCTAGCAAACCCAGGCCCGCCACGATAAGATATTTCCACAGATGGCTCCCCCGACCGTAGATCGCGTATATTCTCAGCGTGAGCAGAACTGGCATTTCATGTGAGCCAACGCAAGCCATGAAGAGGAGACAGGCCCACCACAGATCACGATCTGATTGAGAAGGAGAAGCAGCTGACGAAACAGGTTCGCGCCGTTGCACCTGCGCTCGAGTTCAGCGAAGCTGTCAATGCGACAGCAGCGTGTTGGGTATTCTCACAACTGCGAGACGGTGAGATCAGGCGCGTGAGACTTGAGCGGAGCGCACGCACCGTTGAGGGGAGTGGTGTGAAGTGAAACACCAACACAACTAGATTGCCGAGCGACGCGAGGTAGCGGTTGAGCAAGAACGCATAGGTGCTCGCCGTCCTCGTCCTCTGCCACAGGTACTTCACCTCGTCCTCTGTCCGCACCGTCACGATCGAATGACTCCGGCACCGACAGCAGACGCACCGAATGTGACCAGGTGCTCCCAATACAACACCACTGCGTCCATAATAGGCTGAGCCTGCGACAGGAGGCCGGGCGAAGACACGCACCGATGCCAGCGAGGAAGAGATCGTTGTGAATCCGCCTGCGTGCGAGCTGCCAGTTAGCGAGCGACAACGACACGCGCAGACAGCACGCCGCACGCACACATCATGGATGATCGTCTGAGCGTCCGGGACTCCGTCGTCGCGCATGCGGAGCCAGGGCGTCGGGAGGAGCGCCGCTGCGGGGAGGAGGGAGACGGGAGATGCAGGAAAAGAGCGCCCGGGTATAGGAACATACGATGCTCGCTATCCGGCCAGGCACCTTGATACGCGCCGGCATGATCCGGACCGCCTTCGTCTTGGTGGTGATCATATCCTGGAAAGCGTACAAGAAGTTAGAACAGCATCTACTCGCACGATGAAGCCAATCCGAGTACTAACAAGCGTAATTGAGCTCATAGTCAAATTGGATGTTCACAGTTCATTTCCATCTCAACCTGCCTCGGAGGATGACTGTAGCCGTGGATGCGGCAAGCATGATGATCATCGTCAAGTTAATCTTGACAAGTCCTGCAGGTGGCTGTGCTAAGAATTTGTTGATCGATGCTGTTCACATCACATGACTGAAAATGTGTCACAGCCATCAGTCGACCTCATGCGACTCATGCGAGCCCCATGAATGACGCAGCTTCTACTCTCATTTCCAACGCCTCAACCACCACCTGCCTGAGAATCACAGAACTGCCGGCACCTCGCTTGAGTCTCTTCTGATGGCTACCTCGGAGCCGTAGATTCAGCTGCACCGCGGGCAGGCTCACTCAGGCTCCCCGGTCCTCACTGGGAAGGAAACTAGCTGCCTTCCTGCGGTCGATTCTCCATGGCCCCGGCGCGTTCATGCTTGCCCTTCGATCGGATGGAGAAGCGCTATGAATAGTCTGTGCCCGGAAGCACAAGCGTAGTCGCATGAAGCCACGAACATCACGCACGACGTCATATCTGCGCCGCACCCAGCCCACGTTGCCCGCGTGTCCAATTCTTGCGTGGGAGCGGGCGGTGGCGCATGAGGGGCTAAGGTTGTCTGCCTGTCTCTTTGTTTGTCTGGCAGGCTGTCTTCCCGCTTCCTTTGAGTGCATTACGTCTGTCTTACGAGCGTATAAAAGCCAAATGACTGTGCGTTTGTCTTTTGCCACCCAACCACGACGATGCACGCCGCCGCTACGATGTGCGTACCCCCGCTGCTCAAGTGCCCTTGTGCCCCGCCGCTGACACCTACGCAGCACGACCCTCCTCTCGCTCTTTGCCAGCACCTACGCGGTCTCCAATCTCCAGGGCCCCACCAACGCTGCCCCCGGGTCGAATGTCACCGCGACCTGGTCCTCAGGCTCCTCTGACACCCAGACGATGACCCTGGCGTTGCTCAGCGCTGACACCAACGTCACCTACGTGCGTCATGGCGATGCTTGTCGGGTGGAGCCCTCTGTCTGACTGACTCCGCTGCATTGCAGCCGGGTGGATTGGCTGTTGCCAACACTGTGGTTCCTGGCGACAACAAGGCCACGTTCCTGTTCCCCCCAACTGACCCTGGGTGCGTGTTTTCGTGGCGCAGCTCTATCTGGTCTCATATGTTGGACCCTTCATAGCACTTACAAGCTCGTCCTGTACTCTTCGTCCAACACGAGCGACGTCCTCGCGACGAGTGGATCCTTCTCCGTTGGCGCCGCTGCCCCAGCCACGACGGCGTCTGGCTCCACCGCCCCGCCGGCATCGTCTGCATCCAGCAAGCCGGCGACCTCCTCGGGGTGCGTGTTGCTTCCGTCTCTTCATCTCGGAGTGTTCGGTGGGGGGGGGGGGCTTCATCTGCACTCTAATTCGGAATGCAGCCCCACCGCCACAGATTTGCCTCTCCACTGCTCCCTGCTCCATTGCTGCTCCTAGCCTGGTGCTTACCCTTTTCGCAGGTCCGTGAGCCACAGCGTCACCGCGCCCATCGCCTCGATCACATCGTCCGCCGCGGCCGCCGCGTCGTCCATCGCCTCCGGCGCGGTCTCCCAGATCTCCAGTGTCGTTTCAGTAGCGTCGGCCGGTGCCTCGTCTGTCGCCGTCAGCGCCGCCAGTGCCGCCAGTGTGAGTGCCGCCAGTGCCGCCAGTGCAGCGAGCGCAAGCGCCTCGGGAGCCAGGCCCAGCTCCTCTTCCAACGCCGCAGTACCCACGCACGCCGGCTCCGGGATGGGCTTGGCTGCGTTCGTTCTGGGCCTCTTCATGCTCTGAGTGGGTGTGCGGGAGCTAGATCGACGGACGGACGGACGACGGACTGCTCGCACTCTCTTCCAAAAGCCATTCACGTCTTACTTGCGGTCTCTGTTTTGCATCTGGGTGTACTGGACACTAGTTCTTTCGTTGTTGTTGTTGTTGTTCGTGCACGTGCGTGATACATAGGTGTATGTAACTCTGTATGTGCCTTCTTGCTTGTGATACATATACCCTGGGTCGTTTTCATCTTCACCGTGATGGCTGATGGCTAGGGGACGCCCGTGTATGGACATGTGTGATGTCCTGGGGAGAGATAATGGCACAGATGGCTGCCCAGATCTTCCTTGGCCCGTCGTGTGAATTGTGGGCCAGCCCGGGAGGACAATGTCAAAAATATGATGTCTCAAAAAGGAAATCGATCATCCCCGACATCAATTCATTGTCGTCGCGCTTTGGAGGAAGGGCCCGACGGTATATAAGACCATGCTGATCCGCCGAAAGACCCCACATCACCCGGAATCTCTCATCTCTTGCACGAATCTGGTCCGGCACCAGCAACAACGAAACATTCTCTCATACCTCTATTTCATTGTCATCATCAACCATGCCTCGTATGACCAAGCGCGCACGCCAGCCCACACCTCTCTCCAACGTGACGAACTTCCATGACATCGAGCTCGAAGAATCCTCGCGCATGATGGTCGAAGATGAATGCAGCGCCATGTACGGTATCGATGGGACGGGCCCGACGACCCCGCCCCGCCGCCCACCCGGCATCTACTCCAAGGACCCAGAGCGCGTCGAGCAGCCGGAGTTCGCCACAATTGAGGTGGAGGAAATGGAGGATGTGGATGAAGAGCCCAAGCGTACGACGCCCGAGCCGATCAACCTGCTGTATCGCCACTTCCACAAGCAGCTCAAGCGCAGCACCGACACGCGGCGCGTCATCTCGAAGCTCCTGCGGCAGGGGGCCCAGGACGACGCCTTCACGGAGCCCATAGCCACGGTGACGCGCATGCTCGGCGTGGACGCCTACTGCGGGGAGGAAACCTGGGGAGAGCGCGTCGGAGACTTGCTGAGCGATGTCTTCACCGCGTACTGGCATGTGCGTCCACCTTGAGTCACAGATACCGAGCCGATGCTGACCCACACAACAGGCGGAGGGCCCGTGGTTCGCCGAAGAATGGGAGGCCGCGGTCGACCCCGACGGCCAGGCAGAGAAGGGCGCCTACCGGCGCTCGCGCGGGATCAACCTCGCGCGCCTCACCGGGGCCTTCCTCGCCGAGGGTCTGCCGGCGCGCGTCATCCCCGCCCTCCAGCTTCTCCTCGCCGCGCCCCCCGCGCGCTTCCGCCTCGCCGCCATCCACCAGATCGTCTTCTGCGCCGCACACGCTGCGCACGCGCCGGAGATCCGCGCGGTGTTGGTAGGCAAGGACGGGCTCGCGGCGCTCGAGAGCGTCCGGGACTGGGATCTCGAGATCGGGTCGCCCAGGAAGCGCAGGGTGCAGCGCCGGTTCGTATGGGGCTGGGACGAGTGGTCCCAGCTTCTGGTTCTGGTGAGTCTCGGGTCTGGTGTCGCGTATGCGGTCGCTGACCCCGTCTGTAGGATGTCTTCCGCATGCTCGGCGAGCCCGAGAGTACCACCGCAGTCTCGTTCTAGCGATCCATCCTCCACTCACGACCACACTCCTTGTATCTCTTTCAAAACTGATTCCGACCTCGACTGTATCGATAGCTTACGACCAGCGTTATAATCCCCCTATGTTCGTTTTAGTCTACATTTCGGTAGCGCATGTACTTGTGTTCACCTTTCCCCGAATACATCTGCGACTGGAAGAAAAAGAGAGAGTAGTGGTGAAGACTGGCTTTGCCTTGAGCGTGGCAATTGAATGTGACAGACTTGCCTGTGACATCAACGTCCTGTGTCGCGAGCTACGATGTTTCACCCACCCCCATGTGTGGCCATTGATGCCTGTCATCTAGGCATCTTAGGCTTTAAGCTTTCACATCTGACTCCTCGTCTTCGAAAGTTGCGCTGCGCGCACACCTATCCATAATGCCTTCGAACGAACCGGCTTACCTCGATCTGATCCTCGTCGGCGACTCTGGTGCGGGCAAGACATCGCTCTCTGCGCGGTTCAGCGACCCGCAGCTGGTCTGGTCAGACAGCAAGCCCGGGACCTACGGCAGCATCGGAAACACCGTCGACCTCCACCCCGATCCGGCAGAATCGACCGCCGGGGTACCGCAGCAGACGAAAATGGATGTGCGGGACACCGTTGGCTCCGGGGGCTTTGACCGCACCCGGCCGCTCGCGTACCCCACGGCGGACGTCTTCGTGCTGTGTTTCGCGGTGAACGACAGGGCGGCGCTGGCGCGTGTCCGGAACAGGTGGATCCCGGAGATCAGGCATCACGCGCATTCGACGGTCGTGGTGCTGGTGGGCACGAAGAGTGACTTGCGTACGGATCGCGAGGACGGGGCTACATGCTGGACCAGGGAGGAAGCAGAGCAGCTGATGCACGACGCTCGGCCAAGACTGGAGGATACGTTCCTGAGGCGTTCAGGCAGGCGCTGAAAACGGTGTTCAAGAGCAGGCACGGCGTAGAAAGGAAGATGCATAAGAGGCCTCTCTGTAGGATCCTTTAAACGGACCCTCTCTTGATTACCTGCACCTTGACTTTCATGGAATTGAGGACAAGTCGATGTGGGTCAATCATGCAGCGCCAACCCTATTTATTTTCATTGCCTCACCCTGTTGCCACTTGAACACACTGTTCTGATGCAAGAGAGCAATCTGTCTCGCCGCAATAAAGCTCTGGCGATTAGTTCACCCTGGAAACATCAATCGGAATTGGACAATTTTTAAATTCGTCCAAGCTGGTCAAATGGCTCTTTCCAGATTGTTCGCGACGCTTTTGGGTTCCTTTTCTAGGAGTCTTCAAGGCGCGATCTCGTCTCCGTGACTCTCACCGCAGCACCGGCGAGACAATGCTTCCATCCATAGATTGTTACGCGTTGAAGATGCTGGATGGACGCATCTAACCCGTCCTCCGGTCCGAGACTTCACAATCGACAGACGTTCATGAAATAGAAGGCCGGATTGGTGTACGTGATCGGCCGCGGAGACTGTCCGAGCTGCCCTGCTGCCCCGTGTGAATTCCGGATGTTGGAAGCAATAGTCGTTCCTAATAAGAGCAGTCTCTTTACCCGACTTGCTGGGTAGTATTCTAAACATCCCTCCTCCCTGTGCTTTGCCGTTTTCCCGACAGGCGGAACATTCGAAACTTGGGCCGTGAGACACTGCAACAACAGGAAAAGAACATCAAGCAGAGATCGGCGTGGCGCCGATAATTAAGGTCAGCGAACATTTCACTGTTTACGTTTTGTTCGACTGTAGCCGGAAGTTGCCACCTTCGCGCATTTGTTGCACAATGAGGCATGCCAAGTCGGATGCCGCAAATGATGCTCCAGCCGATCGTGTCTCGGTTGGTATGGGTGGAGCGTCTGCCTCAACAGCCGTAATTGACATAATTGTCAAGCTCGAGCATAGCAGAATGCTATTCTGTGCCTGTGTGGCCAGCCCATACAGGATTGCGCACAGGAGTCGAACTCGGGAATCTCTAGAGCGCTGCTGGGAGAGCTTCTGTGGGCTACTTGGCAAAATGGGCGCACGGAGATGTATACCGGAGAGAATGGGCGTTTGTTTAGGCGACAGAAGTGGAAGCTCTCGACTTCCGTGTTTCATGATAACTCCACTGACATAGTGCACGGCAGGCGCAAGCCGGATGTGAAACGTCCATAAGAATAGGCCAGGCTCGCATTCTAGTCCTCATACCTCTTTTCCCTCCTCATCCACGTTACTCATCCCCCTTCCCTTCACGACACCTTGCTCAACATCCCAACGCTCTTTCATCCTACTAGTACCATGCAAATCACTGCCCTCGTCGCCCTGACTCTGTCTGCTATCGCCAGCGTGAGCGCTGTGCCGCAGAAAACCACGAAGTCTGTGAAGGTCACGAAGCCGCACGCCGACGTCGTCTGGTCGCCAAAGTTCACGAGCCCTAAGGGGGGAGAGCTGTGGCCGAGCAAGAGCGTGCAGAATATCACGTGGTGCGGCATCCGCTCACTCTCCCCATCATCCCCGGCACTGCTGACACTTTTTGACAGGGACGCGAGTGGCGCGCCTGCGAACATCTCCAGCCGTGCGCTACTGATGCTTCGCAAGGGCGATGAGACTGCGCCGTGTGAGTGCTTGACAATTTGTGTGTCCTCCTCGTGCTCGATCTCATCTCTCGTTCCTGTCTAGTCGTGCTCGCGAAGGGCTTCGACATCCGCTCCGGATTCCTCAGCGTCACTGTGCCCTATGTACTCGGTGACGATGATTACTCCTGGGTCTGTGAGTACACCGATGGCGCTGCTTCATTCTCCAGTTATATTCTGACCGTTTGGGATAGTGTTCGGTGACTCGGGCAACTTCAGCCCGTTTTTCGCCATCTCGAGCGATGCTCTGAATTAGTGTGGCCTCGCGCCGACTCGATGATTTCTCGGACTTCTATTCCACACCATCTTTATTCCTCACCATCGTTTTGGACAACTTACCGATATAATACGTCGCCTGTACCACGGACTCTCTTCTATACCGAAATCCCATCATGACGTACCTCCCGTAATGCTGCGCGTGGCCGAGATGATCGTAAGGACCCCCAGTGTCGGTTAAGGGTCACAATCGAGAAGCTGGGAGAGATCCCGCAGAGATTCTCTGAGCCATTCCCGAGAAAACACCTGTTGCGACGAGACGGCTGGTCTTCGCCTCGGAAACCTAGAATCGAGTTGGGGCCGACGGAATCACACATCGGGCATCGATCAAGCCACCCACCTCGCATGTACAGTTCGTCACACCGCCGACCGATGGCCGTGCTGTGCAGATGAAGCGGAGAACGGAGCCTCTAAAAAGATCCGGGTTTGAGCCGAGTTGTGGGTGTTTTGATAGAAGCCACGGAACACACACAGGTATGCAGGGTTGTGGAAAGACGTGTTGAGATATAAAGAGACGCCGGAGACGGCGTCAGGTCCGCGGGACGCGAAGTCGATTGCAGTGACTGCGGACGATGTAGCTCTGCAGGCGCGAGCTTAGCCGCGGCACGGGGTGGAGACTGTCTTAGACCGACTCGTCTATCACAGAGAACAGAAATGAGTTGGCGGCCTTGCCCTCAGCGTCCAACATCTCTGGTCATCACATGTCAACAGGGTCGTCAATGCGGACAGGGAAGGGCGCACCTGCTGTGACCTCGACCTCGCACTCCATCACAAGCTCAACCGAATCTGTAAGCTCCACCCGCGTGACGACGCTCTCGCTCGCCATGGGCATCGCAAAGCACGAGTTGCCCGGCGCGTGGTAGATATCGAGCCATTTCACGGCGTATTCTTTCACGGCCTGCGGCGCTGAGCCAGCGATACGTGCAAGGCGGTGGGGGGCGACGGGCGTGTTGAGAATACGGCGTGAGTTGCACACGAATGACTCTACAGGAGCATGCACCATGGAGCTTGGAGCTTAGAGGTGGTCGTCGTCGGCTAAGAAGGAGATAGACGCGGGGTAGCCGAGCCGAAGCCTCGATCGAAAACACGTGCGAATACGCCTGTGAAGCTCAGTCCATGTGGCTTGGCGGAACGCAGCAAACTCCGACTGGCATTTACAGAATGATACAAACAGGTGTCCTGTATATCTTCCTTTTCGCACCCCTCCGGCTCTGGAAAATCTCCTTCAGCGCCGCCTGGAATGCTTCGGGAACATTATTTCCATTCTCGGCGGACGTCTCGATGTTTTCCCTAGCACCCACGGCGTGCATGAGCTGCTCTGCTTCCTCCCTGGTCCAGAACGCAGCCCCTTCCTTGACATCCATACGCAAGTCACTCTTCGTGCCCACCAGCACCACGGCTGCCGAAGGCATATGATGCCTGATCTCAGGGATCCACCTGTTCCGGACCCGCGCCAGCGCCTCTCTATCGTCCACCGCGAAACACAGCGCGAAGACGTCCGTCATGGGATACGACAAGGGACGCAGCCGGTCCCCTTCCTCCGCTCCGATGGAGTCCCACATCTCCATCCGCACTGTCTGCGGGACTCCGAGAGCTGACTCAGCCGCAGTTGGGTGGAGGTCCACGGCGTTCGCCCAGCTGCTGAAGGTTCGGGGCATGTAATCCGGCCAGGACAGCTCCGGATCGCTGAAACGTGAGGCGAGGGAGGTCTTCCCCGCTCCGGAGTCGCCGACGAGCACTAGCTTGAGGTTCTCTATGCCTTACACAGGGCAGGAGGTAAAAAGATTTGCTGTGCAACTGACAGCACTCCAGCTGGCGTCTTGGTAGCATGAGAAGGGATTCAGGCGCACAGCCCTTGGCAGTGGTGATTGCTATCATGTGACGAGCGATCTTGCTTAGTCTTCCCCGTGACTTTCCCGACTTACTTGCGACCAAATTGACCCTTCTTCTTCAGTACCCTGAAGGATATATGTGACCATGCGGAATGAGAAGGCAAAGGCTCAAATTGACAGGTGAGCAACCGTTTAACTTCGAGCTCTGGGCCCACCGCCGATGACCAATCGACAGTGACCCAGGTCTCTTTGCGAACCTTGTGGACGCGTGTCACTGCCGTGGATCGGTCGAGATCACGCCTGAACATGTGTGGCTCGCGATTACATCGCAGCTATCGCACTACCTCGGATCTTCTCCGCTACCGCACGACGACAAGCTACGCCGGACGCTCGCTGACTGGAAAAGTATCCACATCTTCTCTTCCGCGGTGCGCGGTGGAGTAGTCACGAGTGACAGCGCCCTGCCAGAGATTCGCGTCCAGGGGACAGCGGAGGAATACGCAAAAATCCTGTCGCTGCTCGACACTCTCCGCACGCCGGGTGCGCCTCTCGTGTTGATAGCGTGGTACCACCTCCTTCACATCGTCGTGTCGCGCCTTCTCGAATGCACAGCCGGATCACCGGCCCCTCAAGACGACGAGTTCTGGGACAAAGCCATTCGCGCACGGACAAGCAACGATGACGTCAGGTTTGTCTCCGGTTGGACCGCAGCACTGCGTGTCTTCGACGAGGACGGGCGGTGGATCGGCTATCCGCTCGATGAGGTGTGTGTCAGGCTTCCATTGATGGCGAAGTGCTGACTGACTGGGGACGGTCAGAGCGCCGGTTCGACACAGCCTCCCGAGACGCTGACTGGCGCGCGTTTCTGGGCGACGTATGGTGGTGATAGACTGCGATATTGTGGGGATTTGGTCATCGACGGAGTTCCGTTTCACCGGGTCTACGAAGCTGATTGGGAGTGAGAGTGAAGCTGATCCAATACGAGTATACTACAGCACGATCATGGAGACAAAGATGGAGGTATCCTGTTTCAGGAATCTGATCTTGTACCTGTTGAAAGCATCCCCTTCTGCGTCTGGGATTCTTGCACTTGAAGGTGACGGACGTGTTCGAGTGACGGCTCATATGCCTTGTGAAGGAAAGATGAAGTGCTGTATAAATAGAATCAGGTGTTCCGTGACACCGAAATAAAAGCCCCAAACACGAAAACTACTTTTAGTATTTATTCCCCATCAAACTTTGCTCCTCCAGCTCGATCTCACGCGATACCTGTGTGATATCGCATGAAGCGCACCAGAACGAAGCGCAACAGTCGCCGCATCCTCCGCCTTCGATCCCGTAACGCTCGCGCGTGTCTCCCCGGTTGAGGCACTGCAGGATGAAACCCCATCCGCCAAACGACTATTGATCCGGGGTAGATTCAGACACAGATCAGTCGCGTGGGCAGCAGATGAAACGCACCGTCAGACAGCAGTGGGCCCAACACATGCCCGAGCAGCAGGAGCCTCCGTCGGGGTGCGGGGTCCCCTTGTTTGTCAAATGCGCGAGTCGTTGGCGGTTCTTGCCGTAGTAGATGCAGGGACAAAAGCATGCGCCGCAGACTTGTCATCGCAGGGAAGTGTCAGCACGCGCGCGACGGCGGAGATACTCGGGTGCATCACTCACACGTTCCACATGCCCCGAAGCATCCGCACAACCCTTCACTCCACTCACGCTTGCCGCTGCTGTTCAGCGGCTTGTTCGCGGCGTTGCGGTTTCCACCCGCGCCGACCTGCATTCCCATCGTGGGCATCGGCTGCTGCGACATGTACGGTCCCTGGTTCTGGTACGCCATTCCTGTGGCGGCTTGTTCGTAGAGACGGTAGAGAGGTGGATGGGTGCGAGTGAAGCAGGGAAGAGATAAAATAAAAGAAGTGCGGTGGGAGAGAAGGGATTTATGCAAAAGGGTCCCGGAGAATGGAAAGGCAAGGGGAACGAAGGAAGAATGGTCCGCACGAGCATCCCGTCCGACCTTTATCGAATCCGGTGCTCAGACTCCCGGCAAGCAATCGAAGGCGCCGGGTGTGCGCCTCTCATCTGCAGATCTTTGCTCGGGAACTGCTACGTTGTCACTTCGCGTGGACAGATGATGGATGGTTGTTAGGGAGCGGTACCGTGGACCTGTTCGAGACGTGAGTAACCATCGTCTCGCCGGCCGTGCTGAACGCCACCGCTCCGATCCATATTGAGCGCTTTGGTCACGTGAGACAGTATTTTTAACAGAGAACGGAGGAGGGAGTTCAGCGGTGATGGTCGGTGGCAGGGTGACGGTGCGTATATATGCGCGCTTATGGATTGAGGCATGTGATTGGTGATGATATATGTACATGGGGGATCACATGGTTGACCCTGGAATGAAAGTAGAGAGCGGCGAAATCAGGACCAGCGAAGTTACCTTCAAATGTTGGCCACCGCGTTAGACAACTTTTGGTTAGGAGGGGTCAAAAAATTCGCCTAAATTACTAGAGTTGGATAAAAAATCCCGGCTAGGTTCAGCCGGACTGAGGTCACGGGTGGGACAAAGTTTGGCCTCAGTCTGGTGCCCGATAGGTGACTTTCGTGGGTTGGGCTGGGCCACTGGTTCGATTCTTGCCCGTAGTTAGAATAGGTCAGAACAGTGTACAGAGCTCCTTCGACTGTAGGTTTGACAGGTTGACCGGCGATGCCGCTAATTCGGAAATTGATTCATTCGGCGGCCTGGTGACCAGTGACACCCATGGTAGGCGACAAAAGCTGTACTGATTTGTGGCAAAATTTTGCCTGTTGAAGACCCAATTGTGGCCAAACCTCAGAGTTTTGGGTCTCATTCTTACCCAAAATGAGCAAAGAGACCTCAAAATGGCTGTAAATGGGTAGTTCGGGCAAAAATTGGAAAATGTCACCAGTTCCGCCCTTGGTTCGAGCCCCTCTGTGACCGGGCCTGGTGACGGGACGCGATCTAATGGTTGAGATGCAGGTCATAGGTCACTCGAGTTCTTGAAAACACTGTGACATAATAATTAGATAGACCATATTTTTTCGGGTTCTATGAAGATTCACTTCTACAAGCATGCCTCCCACAGTCCAAAGGTGTGCCCACAGACATAACAGTAGCTGTTACCAATATCACTCGACCAAACCAAATAGGCACTGGATGTAAGTACATCGGGTGAACTAAATACTTCGGGTAGTGGTCGCAGATCACTGGGTCAAATGACCAGTTCGGTTTCAAACACTTGAGGTCACTGTTTGCAAGGTCTGAACAGTCGGTCGTAATAGTACAGTACACAATGTATTGTCTCTATCTATATTCAAATTGGGAGACGGAATCATTTGCCGCACGGATCGATCACAGGCTGAGGATGCCCAATAGTTACCCTTTTGGGATGTGTGGTCAGGCCACGATTCCCGCATGGTAAGACTGGGTGGTGAAGATGATCGGAAGATAAGATATGTTTCGCTCACGATCGGAGAGCATAGTCCGTTACACTGAACCCCATCGTACCAAGGCACTCTCTCATCAACCCGGTGGCCCTTCAGCCCGTCCTCCGTCCTCCAAAGTTCTATTCAGCGAGCCGCTGGCCCATCGACCTCGATCTTAGGTAAAATTCCCCTGACTGGGCGCTAGCCTAATCAGCGCTGATTCGAGGTCCTGTGCGGCCTTCAGATGTAAGCCGCGGAGAAGCGCGGCGGCCCTTCCTCGCCGCTTGCAATCGTTATTCTAGCGAGGTGCTAGAAGGAGAAGGCTCTTGCGCCCGTTCCGGAACGGAGAAGCGAGGAGAAGAAAGCCTTGGGAATAGAACGGTGCAGAGCACACTTGCTGAGGTGAGATTTGAAGGGTTACAAAACTGCAGGCCTCAAAGACGAGGCGATGTCACGGCCACCGGTCCTTGGTGAACCTTCACAATTCCAACGGAGCAGAGCCGGGGGATTGGCGAAATTTAATAAACGTCGAGTCATTCCGACGACTTCCTTTCTTCGTGAGGACTGATCCAAAGCAGCTTGAAGGAGGGCAGCGCCTGGAAGTATGTAGCACATGCGAGGCGGGGGTTTAACCGAATTGACACATTGTGATCACGACGAGCGAATGATACGGAGTGAGATGACGCATAGAGCGTGACGAGAGTGGGCATCAGCTCGAACAACGCCACTTAGATCCTATCCTCATATAATCGCAGGCCGGGTTATCTCCACGTTCCGCAGTGGCAGGATGCCAAGGCAGCGAGGCTCGTGCGAGGAGGGACCCTTTACTGGAGTCATCCTCCGCTCCATATAATTCGGACGTACGAAACATCACATCACTTGTGGAATGCAGGGCCAGCGGCAATACAACACCTTCCATCGGCATCACGGAAGAATGACTTCCATCTATGGACACTAGGGGACACGATACCTGAACGGTCGCCGCAAACGCAGATCCTCCCGTCAGATCAGATTCCTTTCACCTACGTATAAAATGCTTAGCTCTTTGTCTCGGTTCCCCGCGAATCTTGGTGTCTCACTCACAGCCATCTGTGCATTTTACACAGTCACACACTATCTTCGCTTTGAGATCCTCCCCGAACTATGTTCTGGTCCTCTAGCAAAGGCAAGACCCGAGCGCGGTTCTCGGCACCCAGAATGCCCTGCGAACTGGAACGGTACATCGTCGAGATGTATGCACTCGAATGCGCCGGCCCGGAGCGGATCCTGCAGCTGCTTCCCGTCTGCCATCGGGTTCGAGTTTGGTGCCTTCATTCCATTTCGTCGCGCAGCCTTCGAGACGATCTGACGATTGTTGACAAGGCTTGAGCCAGCACTCTATCGCACACTCATATTCAACGACGGATCCGATGAGGAGAGACTTCCCACCTGCGAGATAGATGTGATCGACCGTCTGTCTACTGCCTATCCAGGCGCCCTCCAGAACATTGTGAAGAATATCATGCTGATCGGCGAAAGGCGGGATACTGTGGAGCGGGTGCTGAGGAGCTGCAATGCGGCGGAGAATGTATTCCTCGCTGGATGCGCCACTCGTGGGCTTGATCTATCGCTAATTTCGCCGTCCCTCCGACATTTGCATTGCACTGCGGAGACCTTAGAACTGCTCAATTGGAAACCAGAAGGTGCGATCGACTATTTTCGCTGTGGACTCTTGTCACAACGAACAATCAGGTTATACTTTCCCGGCTCTGACGCATCTCGAACTGTTCAACATTGACAGTCATTCCCACGGCCGCGTACCTCAGACCCTTCTCCGCCTGCTGAGCAGAAAGCACTTTCCATATCTGGCACATCTTGCCATAAGCGCAACATCTGTAATCCGCTACCTGCCCGAGGTCATTCCGCACTTGCAAAACCTGGAGAGCATCGTCATCGTGAGCGCTTACCGCATTGTCTCCTCGACCCCTCTGCCAGAGAGTGACCGTCGAATATTAATGGGAGACCAGAGACTAGTTCTGGTCTCTGTTCCTGATTACGTCGAAGACTGGCAAGATGGGGTGTTGACTGCGAACGACTTCTGGGCAAGGGCAGCACGAAGAATCGCAAATCGATTATCCGGCGCAGTCGATGGTGAGTCGAATTCCGCATGACTTGTCGAATGCATCGATTGAGAAGTATATCCCAGCGAATCACTATGCCGTGAATTTCGACGACATGGAATGACGTGATTCTCACAGATGAAAACATAATGTACACTATTTCTTTGCAGAACTCTTCAGCCATACTGCATATGGTTTCATTGACGCTGTCCCGGGCGAAGACATATTAGTATCCTTGTAGCACTACTGCGCACGGAACCCCAAATTCTCACAGGTCGGGATTTCGTGGTACCATACATCAACATGGAGTACCGAGCTCATTTCAAATAGCTGAAGCAAAAACCTTGCGTGTATTTATTCCAGAAGTTGGTACCATAATGGAAGTCGATCCAAGTCGATACAAATCTCGCACCAGTCTGTGTCCGCTGCGATCGCCGTCGTGTCTCCCTCGAGCGGGATCGGACGCAGCCGATAGGATGAATAGAAGAGTGTGATCAGTGTCGGATTTCCCCAGCAAGACAATAAGGTACCAAAGTTAACCTGCTAACACGCAAGTTGATGACTGCATTGCCACCCGTTCTGTCAGGCAGTCCGGCCCGGTACCTCGAGAAGTGCTTCGGTCACGTTGATTCCCAGAGACACACCCAGTCCGCTCAATGATTGGTGGTCAAGCCGCAGTCGTCTAACTCGATGGAGGATGCCCACCGTCAGGTGCTCACTTGGTCGCGTACAGTTGTGGTAAAGATCGCCGTAACCTCCGATCACCAGCAAATGAATTCTAGGTTCAGCCTGAGTTTTGCGGCAAGCCTCTCAGGGAGCAGGCTACTGTAAGACAATGATACTACTTTCATTTGCAGTCACTGCAGGATAGATGATCCAGAAAACAGAACGCGAACGCTTCATCAAAAAATGCTTTTCCAGGACAGTCTGCTCGGTCGACGCAACGAGTGAGGTCGCTTGTGAAATAGGGCTACCCTTCCAGTTGGCTCCGGAGAGGGAAGACGCGACGGGGCATAAACCGAAGATTTTTTGAACAAGTATCAAACATGGAAATGAGTTGAGGACTACCAATGACGGATGTCTCATCTCACGTAAGAAACGCCGTGCATTGCCAAGCTGATCTTTGTTCAATGAATCGCGTGTCCAATTGGATTTAGTTTCATATTTGAAACGTCATTGCATCTATAGCAACACACTGTACTGTACATTGAAGTTCATGTTATCATCGGGGAGAATCATCTCATTCTAGTTCGTCGAAGTTGACGGCATAGTGAGTGGCTTGCAGACGTGCCTCAACCAATGTATTTCCAAACTAATGCGGAAGCGGCTCACCGTCAACGACGCCGGATAATCGATTTGAAATTCTGCGTTCGGCCCTCGCCCAGTAGTCGTTTCCGCTCAGCACCCCATCTTGCCAGTCTTCAGTGTAGTCGGGCACAGAGACAAGAACAAGGCGCTCATGCTCCATCAAGATTCTCCGGTCCTCTTCCGAGAGAGGAGTCGACGAGACTAGGCGGTAAGCGCTGACGATGACGAGGCTCTTCAGGTTTCGTAATCGTGGCAGGATTTCGGGCAGGGAGCGGATGACAGATGTGGCGCTGAAGGCAAGATGCGCCAGATTTGGAAAGTGCTGCCTGTCCAGAAGGCGGAGAAGTGCATAAGATACCGGTCTCTCGAATTTATTTCCGAGAGTGAAGAGCTCGAGATGAGTCAATGACGCGATGGTATATCCTGAACATCAATGCTCAGTACACAGCTGTGTCAACTTGTGAAGTGTCATTTCACTCACCTCCAGGTTTCCAGTTTAGCAGGTCCAGGGTCTCCGCAGTGCAGTGCAGTCGTTGAAGAGACGGAGAAAGCAGAGACAGATCAAGGCCGCCAGTGGCGCATCCAGCGAGAAATACGTTCTCCGCACTATTGCAGCTCCTTAGCACGCGCTCCACAGTGTCCCGCGTCTCCCCAATTAGCATGACGTTTCTGACAATAGCTTGCAGGGCGCCCGGATGATCAGACGACAGGCGCTCGATCGCATCCATTTGGCAGGAGGGGAGTTTCTGCTCATCCGCTCCGTCGTTCAATATGAGCGTGCGGTAGAGCGCAGGTTCTAGCCTGTTCGGGATGGGTTAGCTGACGGGAACGCTGTTTGTGATGCTACGGACCAGACTCGCACTCGATGGCAGACAGGAAGCAATTGCAGAATCCTTTCTGGGCCGGCGGACTCAAGTGCGTACATCTCGACAATGTACCGTTCTAATTCACGTGGCATTCTGGGTGGTGCCGAATATCCAGTTTCTGGCGTGCTTTTGCGGTGGAACCAGAACATAATCGAACAGGATTTTCGAAGCAGAGGGAAGATGGCGTATGCCTTGGGGGGGACTCGGAAAAGAGAGTGAGTGGAAGCTTGTGAGGAGCCGAAATGGACTGATGAACACACTTTATATGAGAGGGAGTGAATTGGATCTGACGTCAGACCTTGCTGTATGGCGCCGCTCGGGTATCCCGTCTCCCCACGACCTATATCCGGACTTCGAGCGCCCCAATGACCTTTGTAAGACACGATCCGCTGGCCCTGAATTCCACGACAAAATGATAGGTATCGTGTTCACCCGACACACCGAGGTCGAGGCCTGCGGAGTGCATGGTTTTGATTGTTAAAGAAGTCGATCCAGCCCGAATAGGAAGAGTGGTTGATCCAGCCGTGAGTGTTCCCAGACTGAAGGCGGCCGGTCTTGACTTGGTCACGATGGTAACTCTTCCCTGTGGCAATCTAGACAGGCGCGGAAATAACGAGGGGCGCAAGATGATGGCAGGCGCTTTCGGTCTTGTATGTATAGATAGGCTCATGTGCCTACGGGCCTCAGCAGACAGCCGGCTTCCAACGCTCTGCAGGAGGTCCACTAGATGTCAGAAAGCGTCTTCAGGAATGTGAAATAGAGAGAGGTGCGAGTAAAATGTGTGGCCAAACTTGGAAGATGGAGGGCGCGGCAACTTGAAGCATCTCTTCGGCTGCCATCACAATAGGAGAGGGGAAAGAGCGGGGGATGCACAGCGGTTGTGTCGGTTATGCTGGCGCAGGTGTGGGTTGGTGAGCGACGCACTCTTAAAATCCGAAGAAGACCTCAAGGAAATGCTTGGGGTCGTCAGAGTTGCATGCTTCGGGTGTCGACGCTCACCCTCGAGTATGGAGGCCGGGAACAGCATGCTGATTCGCGGCGCGAAATGAGATCGCTGTCTGATTGATGGATCGCTGCACGTGTTCGGCATCATTCACGGCATATCACATTGTACTTTGTTGCTTGTGCTCTGTAAGGTTTATAAATGCTAGTTAATGTACACACTAGTTAGATATCATATTGTATGTATGTATGTATTCTTGTTAACAAGCATTGAGTTCCTCTGGTCCTGAAATTGATCGGTCACGTGCAGTTTCGATGAGTCAGCAAGGTCGCCGAAACACTTTCACGTGATCCAGTCTCATTATTGCGGACGCCCTGGGCAGGAATCAATGAGTGTCCTCCATAGGCATGTCATCGTTCAAGCTAATTAAGTAGTGCCACTGAGGATTTAGCCAAGTATCTACTACCCAAAGCGCAACAGTTTGAAGAATTCACAGTAACCTGATTATGTAGTCTTTGTCACTTCTGTACATTGCTGAGTACAAGGTAAACTGTAAATCTACCAGTCATCTGCATTTCATTGTTGTGTACATTGGTACAACTCCAAAAATCTTGTGTTCAGAGTGCTCGACAGCATTACTTCGACTTCTCAGGCTTATTTCTACAAAGGTCTAGACAGGTTGCAATTTTCAAACAATATTTAATTTCTTCTGCCGGTTTGGAGCGGCACTGTTTTAATCTGATTGATCTAGGCATTTCTCGATGCCTTAGCAGAGTCCCTGGCGGTCTAGTTCCTGGGGATCGCTGCCTCCTGGGCTTATTCCAAGTGAAGCGAGCATCCAACCGGGTCGGAGTTGTACCATTGGACTACAGACTCAGCACTACTTAAGTAGCTTGAACAATGACATGCCTATAGAGGACGCTCATTGATTCCTGCCCAGGGCGTCCGCAATAATGAGACTGGATCACGTGAAAGTGTTTCGGCGACCTTGCTGACTCATCGAAACTGCACGTGACCGATCAATTTCAGGACCAGAGGAACTCAACGCTTGTTAACAAGAATACATACATACATACAATATGATATCTAACTAGTGTGTACATTAACTAGCATTTATAAACCTTACAGAGCACAAGCAACAAAGTACAATGTGATATGCCGTGAATGATGCCGAACATGTGCAGCGATCCATCAATCAGACAGCGATCTCATTTCGCGCCGCGAATCAGCATGCTGTTCCCGGCCTCCATACTCGAGGGTTGACCGGTGAAATTTGTCAGGTGATTGACTACTTGGTACGACAAAACGTTCTTTGATCCCCAGCACTGCCACTCATGAGCGCATCAGGGCATCGTCCCTTTTTCGTTCTTCTGCCACCCGCATATCTGCTGCTTAAAGTCGCCAGACCACTCCCGTACTCTATGCATCAGTCCTCAAGAGTTCCCCTTGTGTCATATCTGTCTTCACGTGCAGTGCACTCAAACGCAGCCAATGCCTCGAAACCTCGTGTCGCATGAGCCGTGGGCTGGCAAAGAACAATGCAAATCTGCAATCAATACCTTAGCGATAACATCACCTTAAGAGGGCCCAGGGTGGCATAGGCATTGTGGATATTGCACCCCTCTCCTCTTCTTCCTCTCTCTTTCTGTCACCCATCCTCACCGGAGCGACCCAGCACCACGATGCCTTCAGACCTCAACGTCTTCGCCGATGTGGATCCTGGACACGTCGAGCTTTCGAGCATAATCGAGTCGATGAAGCTTCTCAGGCTGCGCGCGATCGCGCTGTGCCAGCGGGGAGAGATTTGGAACGCTGAGGACACTTGGATGGGGAACCCCGAGATGATCAGCTTCCTCTCCGACGTCGTGCGGTGGTTGCCTGGCCAGGCGGAGGAGTGCTCGATCGCACGGTATGTCTCAAAGGTGCATGCCACCACTGTCTGCATGTGCTCACGGGTGTAGGACCGCCATCGCTGCGAATTTGGGCCTGACGACCGCGCGGAACGCGAGGGACGACTACGTGCGCAGCCGCCCACCCCCTCCCGGCACACTCGATCCCTCGTGTCTTTTCCAGGGCAGCACACCCGAGCCTCAGACGCTGACCACGCACAAACGCTCTTGGCAAGAAACGCACGACGATGACGACGACATGGATGGTGATCCGCGTGGGTTTCTTGATTCCCCGACAAAGGCGACTATCCTGAGCACCCCAGGCAGCGGGGAGCCTAATGCCGTATTCCACTCCCGCCCCGCCCTCCCACCGGATGAGACACTCGACATGCCGCCGTTCGTCCACCAGCTTCTGACTCCCGCTTTCATGGACGGCGTGATGCTGAGCTCGGACGGCAACATCACCACCTTCCCCCTCCTCGATCCGCACCCGGCGCTCATCTTGTCTCAGCCGCCCGTGCCACCCATGAGCTCCCATCGCGTTGACCGCACACCCGGAATGTCGGGCCTCAGCCCTTCGTCCCGCACCCTGTGGATCCAGCGTCAGCGCCGTCAAGCGCAGATGCAGGCTCCGCCGATAGAGCCATCGTCGCCGACGCCGGGGCCGATGACGGCGAGACGCAGGCGCGCGATAGCCGCTGCTGCTGCCGCTGCCGCCAATCCTGCTGCGCAGCCGAGTGCTCCGGTGTTCGACCCACGGGCTATTGCGGCATCTCGCGGCCCCAGGAGGCTTGGATGAGCACGTTTACGTGCCAGTGTCAGAGGGAACGCTAAGAAAATGGATGATCAACTTGACCAATCTCAAAAGTGGAATTCAATCTTCATCTTGTAGTTTTTGACGAATGTAGTATTATGAACATATCTATTGTTTTCGACAACGCAGCCCGACTCTGATAGCCTTACTATACCCTTCACTTCATATTGGTGACCTGAACATTCAGAGCACCGTATTAATGGGGTAGTGGTAACCTGGGTCGTTGCCATTCATCAGCGACTTTCGACCCGCCGGGGGTTCGATTGCCCCTTAATGCATTTTGAGGTCAGAACTTTTGCTCCTTGTTTTAACCTTTCCGATTTGCTGAAAGCTGTCTTGATTCGCCCGATTCAAACTTACACGGCTTCTTCGTATGCTGCACCCTAGTTCCCTCTTTTCTGTTCAGTATCCCCAAACCGGGAAACTGGACCGGAGGATTCTTGATTGATGTGCGGAGCTCGCTCCGCCATCACCGTGGCATCGCATGGAACTCGATCGCAGCCGGCGGGAAAAACATGAAGCATTTGATATTCTGGGTGCCTCGCCACGCACGCGGGCGAAGACTTCCTTTACGACGACCACCACGACCCCCCGCATGCCCCGCCTGCGAGCCCAGCGACGCCGTCCTTGAGCCCGAGTGCACCGATTTCGTTTCCGGACGATGGAACACCTCTCAGATAGCCAGATAGCGCGCCAGCTGTGCGTCGGCTGTTCCCGTTCCGCTCCCCCGCCGACCCCTGACGCTCTTTTCGTGTGCCCTAGACGGATTTCCGCGTGGCTTGTATTCAGCCCTTCCAGTGAGTGGCTGCCCCGATCGCGTCGTGCGCCGTGTCCGTGGCCCCGGGCCTTACTCACGCCACGCGACTGCGCAGCGCTTCTTTGTTACGAATATCTGATCACGCTCGACGACGAAATCGCGCGGTACTGGAGCGCGGGGCGCTCGTGGGGCTCGGCGCTGTTCTTCCTCAACCGCTACGTCGCGCTGCTGGGCTCCGTGCCGGTCGTGGTGGAGTTCATGCTCGCGTCTATGAATGCGGACGCGCGGAGGAAGCAGGTGCGTGGGTTCTGCCGGCTGGCGTCATTGGTGGGCTGACGATAGGGCCGGCAGCTGTGCTCTGCGTTCCAGTCGTACCATTCTTATTTTGCACTCTTTTCTCAAGTGCTGGTGTGCGGTGCGTGCCCACTTTCAAATCCACTCCCGTCCCCGCACTGGGCTCATTCCGCCGCGGCCATAGTGATCATTGTCACGCGCACATACGCGCTCTACGGCCGAAACAGGATCGCGCTCACAGCCATGGTCACTGTCGTCGGAGCCCTCGTGACTCTCGCTATCGTCAGTGTTTTTCCTTGAGTCGTGTGCGATAGCTTCCGAGTCAGAACTTGACCTGGTGTGCAGGTTATTCTCGTGCGAGGCGGAGACGACGGGGCTCTGTCCAGGAACCTGCTTGCGATTGGGTGCCCGAGTGCCACCTCACATCCACAGTAAGCGTGCTTCCTACCATCTTCCGACTCTCGTTCCCGAATATTAATATCCCACCAGATCAATCAGTACGTTTCCCTCCCCACGTACATGTGTGTGTGTCATCGTTCTGACGGCGATCAGGGACTGCGATTGCTTGGAGCGGGATGGTAAGGAGCACTGCCTTGTATTTCTGACCGAGACAGCCCCGATAACACACCCCACAGCTTATCTTCGACTGCATGATATTCTTCATGACGCTCTGGAAAGCCGTGCGATTCAGTTTTAGAGGCCGAGAAAATTCAGGAACATTGCTGCACGTGCTGGTCCGGGACGGGTCCATGTATTTCGGGTGCGTTCGATTGCCAAGTGTTGTTTCATTTTTCCGTGTATGCTCAAATGCGCATCCAGCCTTATGGCGATAGCCAATGCGGTCAATATCGGAACATACACGATGGGCGGGGTGCGTTAGCCGGCCTCGGCCTCACCTTTTTGGGCATTGTCTGACCCTCGAGCCAGCCGATAATGAGCGGGGCGGTGACGACCGGTGTCAATATGTCCGTAAACTTCCCCCACATCGTCCGTAATTTTCGGAAGATTTGACCCGTGCTAGATTATCCTCGGTGCTGGTCTCCCGCCTAATGCTCAACATCCGCGACCCCCGGCTGCCCTTCCGCAGCTCCGGCAGCCGGGGCGGCGCGCGGGACCTCTCGTCGACGTCAACGCACGCCGGAGCCGCGACGCGCACGGCGCTGCGGGGCTCGCTGGCGATGAACATGGAGACGGACATCGCGCTTGACTCGGTGTGGGTCGGTGACGGCGCGCCGGCGGACAGCGGCGCCGATCCGTATGTGGAGGAGTATGAGCTCGTCGAGGCAGGGCTGCCGACGAATATGCTGAGGCGCTGAGCTTACCCTGACTGACGCTGTTAAATGTATTTTCCTGCCATCGCTGTCGTTTTACCCACTGTATCCCATATCCCTTCCGGTGCGCTTGTCGCGGTGAACTGTTCCGTGGATGTGACATGAGCACGGCAAGCAGAAACTGTACGTATGTAGATGGTCTATGAATTCTTCCGTGTCGAAATCCAGCACAGGTCCTGCACCCACGCACGGACATGGGCCGATCACGTGTATCAACCACCCCTGCGTTTGTCCAATCAGCCGGCAATATGTAGACGAAGTCGAATTCGTGGGCAAATTTCATTTCAGCACGACCCCACACACACACATGTCGTGGGAAATGAAGGAACGGAATCGGGTATGCTTCATGACACGCGTTCAGCCAAGACACAACTGCCCGGAATTTACAAGTCCATATTGCAGCAAATACTTAGTCACACACACACATTACGTATACAGCAACACTCTACATAGCTCTCACGCCCACTCGAGCACGTCGTCCTCGGTCGGGCCAACCGGATCGTCCGACGCGGCGAGATTGCACTGGTGGAACGCACGAACCGTGTCCGGCCCGAACGCGCCGACCACCGAGTGCAAGACGCCTCTGTTATGGAACAAGACGAGATCGTTCGCCTTCCAGTCGTGCGGGTAGACGAGCTGGAGGGGCAGAATGCATGAGCCACCCGAACGGGCACCGAGTGTGCGAAAGTACTCACGGACGGCGCGATTGCCGGGCGCTGCATCTGGTACAGCAGGTCCCGCACCTCTTGCAAGTCCGTCAGGTGTGCGCCATCGGGGTACAGAGCGCCCTCGCGCGCAGCGCCGGCGGGAAGAGGGCTGATCAGGAGCTCCGCTGCACCGCACGGATGGACTTGGAACGACAGTTCGCCCGTGACCGGGTTCCTCCATAGCTGCCGGCAGCATGAGTAACACATCCTATGCAGCACGGAGAGCGATACTGACCATTGGCAGGACCTTCACTTTGCTCTCCTCCCACGGCGGCAAATCCGCCTCCGACATCTCGAGGCCCTCGCACTCGATCCCTAGCCCGGTCGACTTGGCATGGGCGGGCGACATCCACACGTACGGGTGCGGGTGGTAGCGCACCCGGGTGCGGACCGCGACGCTCTTCAGCGCCGGCGGCAGGATGCCGAACATCGTCTTGCCCGAGACGAACGCGGTCGTGCCGAGGGGGACCGGCAGCTCGTCGCCCGTGCCGTCGTCGTAGCGCACGACCTGCGCGGGGCCTGCGGGCACCTGCAGCGCATAGAGCGTCGTGACGCGCGGCGGGGACAGGTCGTAGAGCGCCGCGTCGATGTGCCAGCGGTAGAAGCGCGTCACGCCCGCGGCGTCGTCCTCGGGACTCACGACCGTCTTGTGGAACGTCTTGTGCGAGGGGTGCTTGAGCTTCGCCTCCGCCAGGCCCTCGTGGTCATACACCGTCCCGTTCCCGATCAGCTGCACCTGCGGCACGCGCGGGATCGTCTTGAGATCTGGGTGGAGGATTGACTTCTTGGCGCTGGCGGTCTTGTTGTTGCCGTGCCCGTATGTGCCGGAGGCGGGATCGAATGCCTGTAGTTCAGTTTGTCAGTCGATGTCGTGTCTGGTAGATGTATGCGCGCACCTTGGTCAGTGCGTACTGTTGCTCGGGACTCAACGATGTGTTGCGGAAGAGCAGCGCGTCGTACTGCAGACACCAAGTGAGACACAGGTAAAGATTGGAGACAAACACAAGCCCACCTTGTATAGCGCTTCGCGGACCTCTTCAAACTGCTCAGGCGTCAGATTCCCCGCATCTAGGCCGACAACTTCACGCCCAAGCGCAGCGAGCTTAGACGCGTCGGCCGAGGCCGGTGCAGGCAGCGGGACTAGTTCGATGGCCATGGAAGGAGGAAGAGGAAGAGGAAGAGGAGGGGAAAGAGCGATTGAGGTTACGCGACTCTATAGCCCAACCAAGACACCGCCTTTCCAAAGGCCGCGACGCGATCACGTCGAAACCTCGGCAAAAGCCCCGCGGGCGTCCACTTTGAGCATACTCGGTTCAGTTGGGGATGCCGTGCTCTGCGCGGGCATATGGGGGTCTGTGGCAGCACGCGGAGCCGTGCAGCAGCAGCCATCTCTGGCCGCTCAGTTAGTGTGCTCAATTTGATTTCATCTACATCAATCTAGGAATGATACTCAGCCGCGGTAGATTTGATGCGGAGTGGTTCTTGCATACCTGATTGCACAGTCGCACATAGCAGCAGTCCGATTGTAGTTGTCAGTGTAGTGTAGCAAGGAAGTCAGTCATTCGAGGGTCCAGATGACACATAAACACGTGTTCATGACGTAAGCGATACTGCACAGCATCCTCAGGTTCGGGGCTGCCCCAGTCGAGCAAGATGTCGAGCTCCTTGAATCGTTGCAAGTAGCAGCCCTGGTATGCACCTGAGACATGCTGGGCCCACCCAGGGAAGAACATCTCCCAGGGCCGACTTAGGACCGAACTGACAAGCCAGTGTGGGCTTCTCCCGTGTATCAGCCTTCGAGCCATGTTGATGCCTTCCCTATTGCTGCCGATGCCTGGGGTCAGACAGAACTGGGCCTGTGCAACCATACAGGCGTGATTGGTTAGGGATCTGACGCCCTATCCATCAGACGCACTCCTAATTGATAGGCAGCTGACAACGGGGGTCCAGACGGAGGGATAACACCATTGGCGCAATGCCCTTCTGGTCCCGTTCTGATGGGAATTGCGTGTGCACTTGGAATCTCTCCGCCGAGACAGTGCGTGAGTATAGTATACTTAGCTGCGTCCGTCTCTTTCTCACTCTCCTTTTGTGGTAACACAGACCATACCAGACCTATTTGAGATGAGCGCGCTCCCCGCCATCCCGCCGGACATTGCCATCATGTCAGTACCGCCCGGCTCTCCCACTTATCTCTCGCTTCCTGCGTCAGAAGCTGACTTGCGAATGACTGATCGGCGTCTGCAGCACGGGCCCGACGGTGAGTCTAATTAGACGAGGCGCGGGGGTGCAGATGACGAAACAGCGGACAGATGCTCGGGATATGCCTTACGTGGGGATTCATGGGCCTAACGCTCGTGCAAGTCTGTACGTACCCGTTTGGGGCTGTACTTCGAGCTCTCACTCGCATCTAGACATATACTTCACGACCTTCTTTCAAGACCCGAGGGGACTCAAATGGCTGGGTGAGGCGGCTTCCTGGTCGACTAATGCTTTCCCTCATTGAGACTCTCCCACAGTGTTTTCCCTGTTCATCCTGGACGTTCTGCAGACGGTCATGGTCACGGCCGATGCGTTCCACTGGTTTGTGTTCGGGTTCGGCAACATGATCCAGCTCAACGACACGTTCCTCAACTCGTGGGACGTCCCGATGCTCGACGGCATCATCTCGCTCATCGTGCAGCTCTTCTACTGTTGGCGCATATACATCCTGCGGGGGAGCATCGTGATCCCTGCAGCGATCGGGCTCGTGTCGCTGACCCAGTGTGTTGCTGGAATCGTTACGGCGGTCAAGGTACGTGGCTTTGTCCGTCATACCCCGAGGCAAGGGTTGGCTCAAAGAAGATTGCAGGCGCACATGCTCGGTCAGCTCTCTCTCATCAGCACGGAAGTCGTCGAGCAGACCGTACGCTCGCTTCCCACGCTCTCAGACCCTCCGCCTTATTCCTCTGCAGCTCTGGCTCGTCGGGGGTGCCGTCGCTGACGTGGCGATCGCTGCGGTGTTGTGCTATACCGTGCGCATTTCCGGGTCCAATCTACCCCGAGCCACGCCGATCTGACTGACGGCCCGGCACAGCTGCTGACTGTGCGAAACGCCGGATTCAAGCGTTCCCACAGCATCATCACGCGCATCGTCCAGATGACCGTCGAGACGAATGCGCTGACCGGTGAGCCACCTCCCCGGCGCGGGCTTATTTTGGCGCGTCGCTGATGAATCAACTCCGTGCGCAGCGAGCGTGGCATTGCTGGGACTTGTCCTCTTCTGGGCCGTGCCGGTGAGTTGCATTGGGTTACATTGGAATATACCACAGTGGTGTTCATGGCGCCACTAATGCTCTAGCAACACTCCACACTCGTCGTGCCACCGTAAGCCTGTCCATCTCCTCCACCCTCCACGAGCACTAATAGCCCACTGCTAACTGGCAGGACTGCCATCATTGGAAAATTGTCAGCCGCTAACCGAATAACGAACTCTCCGGCCGTGTGACGCTGATCTCCGTTCATTTAGATACACAAACAGCTTGATTGCGGTGCTGAATAACCGAGTTGTGGGCTCCACCGGCGTCTCGGCGTACGGCCACGGCTCGTCGCAGCAGAACGGCGGCAACACCGGCCTCGGCACCACCGCCAGCATGAACCTCCCGGCGTTCAGAGTCCCCGGCGGCGGCGGTGGCGGTGGTGGTGGCGGGCCGCAGAGCCCCGTCGCGGTCGTCGATGTGCATGTCGTGCGCACGCAGACGACGTATCATGACGGGGATGATATGGAGATGAGCGATATGGAGAAGGGCGTGAGTGTGTGAAGCCTGGATTGCGCGATTGTTTGATCTCATCCCGGCTTAGAAACCCCAGGCGGGGTTCATGTGATCAGGGGGTTACTTGGTTGGATGGGATATTTTTATTGTTCAACTCGTTATTGGATGCTGCAACTGTCGTGTATAGATCTCGCTGCAATTTGGTCAAACACGGCGAGAACCTCAAGTGAGCTGCGGACGTGGGTACCTGTCTGTGCCTCCCCAGCCATCATACTACAGAGAAGATGATGCCGGTCGCATGGCGCACGGCAGACCATCACGCCGCGGGTCTCTGCCACGGAGATCCTTCTAAGTTCTCTCCAGGGCCTGTCAGGCAGCGTGTAGACGTCGAGCCGTTGAAGGCTGGACCTCATGCTCAGTCTGCTTCCTTGATCAGCACTAACACCTCACCGTGGGAACGCTCTAGACAGCTGAGGAATCTACAATAGAACGCAGCACTGATGGCCTGTCCCCTCGATTCCTCGTCCCTCCCCCGACACCGACGCCGCGAGCCGCATCGAACGCTCCTCCGGGCCACGAGCAGATCCGACCAAACGCCCCCACATGTCCAGCGACACGAACACCAACAAGGCGAGCGCCGAGTCGCTCGCCCCCGCGCACCCCCCGGCCCTCACGTCCAGCGAGCCCGCCCCGCAACGCACCATGGCGCAGAGCGTCGTGCACAAGGTCGCCACACGCGATGGCTGGCTCGGAGGGTACGACTACGCATGGCTGTGCCTGCCCTCGCTGCCGTGGTCGAAGGAGTCGCACGCGCCGCCTTTCTACGGGCTCAACGACGAGCTGCCGCTGCTGCTCGCGATGGCGAGTGGGCTGCAGCACGCCCTTGCGATGCTTGCCGGTGCGTTTCGACTGCGTTCATTCCCGATGAGCGACTGACGGTGCGCAGGGCTGATCACGCCGCCGATCATCTTTGCGAACTCACTCAGTCTGGATCCAAAGACCTCGGCATACATGATCTCGGCGTCGTTGATTGGGTGTGGTACGTGCTGTTGCCATGCTATGAGAGAGGAACACTGATGATTGCGTAGGTATCTTGAGTCTGCTCCAGATATCGAGAATCCCCATCGGAAAAGGCTACTTCGTCGGCACTGGTCTCATTAGTGGTCAGTACAGCTAGATAATATCGTGGTGATTGGCTAACAACTTCTGCAGTCGTCGGTACCAGTTTCTCCACCTTATCCACGGCGAGCGCAGTGAGTTTCCGTGCCTGTCCTCGCACTCATCTCTTACACCGTTACCAAGATCTTCAACGCAATGTACGCCGACGGGACCTGCTCCTCGACGAAGAACGCAGACGGCTCGATCACGCGCAACGCCTGCCCGGAGGCCTACGGCAAAGTGCTCGGCACGGCGCTCGTCTGCGCGTTCCTCGAGATGTTCCTCGCCTTCGTCCCGCCCCGCACCCTGAAGCGCATCTTCCCCCCACTCGTCACCGGCACAGTCGTCGTGCTCATCGGCGCGGCGCTTATCGGCGACTCTGGCGCGCTTAACTGGGGCGGCGGGTCGAACGGGTGCCAGACCGCCACGAGCGGCGCGCTCGCGCTGTGCCCGACGATCTTCGCGCCGCGCCCGCTGCCGTGGGGCTCGCCCGAGTTCATCGGGATCGGGTTCCTCTCGTTCGTGAGCATTATCCTGACGGAGCTGTTCGGCTCGCCGTTCTTGAAGAACATTAGCATCATTGTTGGGCTCGTCCTTGGCTGCATCGTCTCGGGCGCCGCCGGCTACATCGACGGCAGCAGCATCAAGACGGCGCCCGCAATCACGTTTTTGTGGGTCCACACGTTCAAGATCGGCGTCTATGGTCCCGCTGTGCTGCCCAGTTGAGACGATCCCAGCTTATGTGTGGGTTCAGGAGGCTAACTGCTCTCTCTCAGTGCTTGCTGTGTACATCTCGCTCGCCATGGAGGCGATGGGCGACATCACCGCGTCTGCCGAGGCCTCCAAGGTCGACGTCCGCGGTCTCGAGTTCGATTCCCGCATCCAGGGCGGTGTTCTTGTGCGTGTAATCTCCGTCTTCCGAATCAGGCAAGCTGAATCGACTCCAGAGCGATGGTCTGGGCGGCTTCATCTCGGCTCTGTTCACCGTCACTCCACTTTCTATTTTTGCCCAGGTGCGTTTTTTATATATCCCTTGCTTAATGCGATGAGAGGCCCCGATCTCATTCAACTGTCGGCAGAATAACGGCGTGATCTCTGTCACTCGCTGCGCCAACCGTTCTGCCGGCCGATGGTGTTGTGTATTCCTTATCCTCTTCGGCGTTCTCGGCAAGATTTCAGGTGCCCTGCTCGCGAGTGCGTCACATTTCCAGCGACACTTTATCGCCGTGTCTAATCTAGCTTGAATTGAAGTTCCCAACCCGGTGCTCGGTGGAGTGACTACCTTCCTGTTCGCTTCAGTCATGGTATGCCTTCCTCGCTTCCGCCGCCCCTCATCACCTCCTGATCCACCTATGCAGGTCTCCGGTTTCCGCGTGCTGGCCTTCGCCAAGTACACGCGCCGTGACCGGTTCATTCTCGCGTCGGCGCTGTCCTTCGGCGTCGGCGACTTGCTCGTCCCGACGCTCTTCACGAACCTGTTCAACGGGGTGAACCACCCCAACGCCGCGCTGCAGGGCTTCTTTAACTCGATCACGATCATCCTCAGCACTCCGTTCCTCGCGGCGGGCATCGTCGCGGTGATCCTCAACCTCATCCTCCCCCGCGACGACTCGGAGCCGACTGCACTGCTCGAGCCCGCCGAGAAAGATTTCGAGTCGCAGGAGTGATTCGGCGTTGTGCTTGCTTGCCTTTTTTAGTTCAGCTTAGTTTAGTACACGAGTATTTACGTCCGTACAAATATTTTACGCAGCTTGTTACTTACTTTCACGCAATTTCACTGGGTTCATTTATGGTTGCAACGCTATATCAACATGATGTGTGTATGTGTGACTCAGATGATGGGATGTGATTTGATCTGAAGAGTGCACCCGCCCCGGAACTGGCCAGATTGTTTTCATCGTTACACGGCGCGTTCCATTCCAAAAAAAAGCACGCAATCGGTGTGCATGTGTACCAGAACTCAAAAACGAACAATCATGCTGGTGACGGCAATTGTTGCTGATGCGCACGGGAGTGACAGCCCGACAGCCCTCCAAGTCATTCGCCGCCTTCGATATGTTCTTCCATTGAAATTCTTGGCTCAGCAGTGAGACTCCGAGCCACGTCAATTGATGTAAGACATTGTCACAGCTTTAATCCGGTATTACATCCTTCTCAAGGGATACATTTCCAAAATACATTACGAGTTCGTGAAAGCACATACACTCGACCAGATCCCAGAGAAACAGACCAGTTAAAGGCCACACAAAAACAGACCAGTTAAAAACGAGATGACGATACGAAAGGAAACAAGGACGGCTCCTGGAGCTTGAAAGCGCACGAGAATTCTTTGTTGTTGACGTCGTCTTGACTGCCTCAGCAACCGAGTGAACTAGGATGGTGGTGATCAAAGCATTCAATTCGTCCTACCACACGAGTCCTACAAAATTGGCGGCTGGAGTCTTCGCCAGATAGATGAGGACTGGGATGGGGAGCTCTTGAGGTTGAGACTATCTCAGCTCAGGATGAATACCTTATGGGGTGTCCACAAAGGAAAAACAACGGTTGCAACATGACTATTGCTCCGCTCGTTTTTTTTTACCGTACATCGAGCCTGTTGTCCTCTTCCTAAATCTGTCTGTAGCTCAGGAAAGCTCTTTGAGAATAACCATTCAGTTGGCAGTGCTAGATTCTAAGAACTAACGGATGCACTGTCTTAGATCTAGGGTGTGTGCTTTTTACAGTAGTCGCGATGGGTACACTGGTCCACGGCAGGTGCATGATTCATCCTTTTTCACCAGTGAATAGAAACGATATATCTGGCAGATTGATTCTTCGATTGAGCCAGACTTGTAAAGTTCTGAGTCGTTGGCGGAAAATTCCGATGTGTTCGAGTTCTCTGGATGTTTCTCGGGACTCAACAATCAATGTGTGATCTGATTCAAGACCCTTTACGTGCACCAGTTGAGATACCACCGTTGCTTCCATCTGCGCAAAATGAACGGCGTAGTGACCATCGGCAATGTCCATGTGTTCGAGGCCCAAGAAGCCGGCGGCACGATCTCGAGCCATTCGCAGGCAGATGTCTTGCATCTTATCTCGCACCTGCCGATCAGTGATGTGTTCACAGGAAGATGATTCGCATCTTATCTTGCTTACCCCGGGAAGAGATCTGTGATGCGATAAGTCTATCTCCTGATCGATCCTCTATCACCCGTCCTTCTCCGCTTGTTTTAGGTCTCACCCAGCGCACCATGCGATGCAGGAAGTCCTCGGGATCAAGCAACTATGAGGGAGTAACGCTCCTGCCGCGATGGCACCGCAGTCCTGCGCTGTTTTTGCATCAGGCGCCATTCCCCCTGCCACGCAGCCCATTGGATGCAGGACAGAGGGTCACCGGGGGTAGCCGCAGCGGACCCATCAGCTCTCACAGACATGCTGGCAAGCACATTGGACTTGGTATGCCCCTGCGTCCGATCTGACGTCGACACCCCCCGTCTCGGTGTCCAATCAAGCCCTCGGCGTCGTTGCAGTGGCTGTAACATCTCGAAACCGTATTCAATTAGGGCTTCGCGCTCCCACCATCACACTTCTGCCGTGTAAGAGTATTTTGGGATAGAACGAGCGGACGTCTCAGCGCTCTGGTATTTGAGGGGAGTGCGCGATGCGTTGTTTGGGTGTCTGTACCGCTCGAGTTCCCTGCAGCTAGTTCTACCCACTGTCCAGCACAGGCCATTTCTCTTCGCCAACATGAGCTTGCCCGCCATTCCTCCTGGTATTGCCATGATGTTTGTCTGACACCTATTGCCCCGGGACTGGCTCTGACGTCTCTGCCTTCAGCACAGGGCCGACGGTAAGCGACGTTGCTGGGCTTCAACAGGCATGTCAAGCTCACTTGGAACCCAGATGATCGGTATATGCCTCACCTGGGGATTCATGGGCATCACTCTCGTTCAAGTTTGTGAGTAGCCCGTCTTGGTCCCCGCCGGTTGCTCAGTGGTATCATGCGACCGAAGACGTCTACTTCACTTCCTACTCGCACGATCCGCGCGGCCTGAAAACCCTCGGTAATCCACGGTCTTCTTGTTCTTCTCTGGTCGCACCTGCTGACGGCGCACCCAGTGGGCAGTCTGTTCTTTCTCGACATCCTCCAGACGGCGATGGTCACGGCGGACGCGTTCCACTGGTTTGTATTCGGGTTCGGCAACATGATCCAGCTTAACGACACGTTCCTCAACTCGTGGGACGTTCCGATGCTCGACGGCGTGATCTCGCTCATTGTGCAGCTCTTCTACTGCTGGCGCATATACGTCCTCCGCAAGAGCATGATCCTCCCTATCCTGATCAGTATCGTGTCGCTCATGCAGTGCGTCGCGGGGATCGTGACTGCTGTCAAGGTGCTTCTCGTCTGCTCTTCGGTCCCACGAAGATGGCTAACGATCGCAGGCCCACATGCTTGGCCAGCTTTCGCTCATCAGCACGGAAGTCGTCGAGCAGACGGTGACTGACAGCAATCTCATCCAAGCTGGCGTTGCTCATCCATGGTTTGATTAGATGTGGCTCGTCGGCGGTGCGGTGGCTGATATAGCCATTGCAGTCGTCTTGTGCTGGACTGTGAGTTCATTGTAGCAGCATTCTTGCCGTATCCGGCAGATCTGATACATGACTGCAGCTGCTGAGCGTCAGCAACTCGCAGTTCCGCAAATCCCACAACGTGATCATGCGTATCGTCCAATTGACCGTCGAGACGAACGCCTTGACCGGTGCGTTCATATTCCCTCTTTCAGGTCTTTTCCTTCTTCTGACGCCGATGAAACCCCCTCTCAGCCAGCGTCGCGCTGATTGGCCTGATTCTGTTCTGGGCCGTCCCCGTGAGTCTCCTGTCTTTTCAACTCCCGCCACATCAGATTGACGTGCGAGGCAGCAACACGCCACGCTCGTTGTTCCGCCGTGAGTTTCTCCGACTACAGCACCCGGGTGTCAGCTCACATTCTTTTTCAGGACTGCTATCATCGGGAAGCTGTACGACCTGACCCTCTCTCCTGCTTCGAGTCTCCGCTGAGTGATTGAGTTCTCCAGGTACACCAACAGTCTGATCGCGGTCCTGAACAACCGCAGCGTTGGCGCGAACAACGCCAGCGCATTCGGAAACAAGATTAGCGGCAGCGCCGGAAGCTCGGGCGGTCCGCACTACGGCAGCAGCGTCGAAGGCAACACCAACACGGCGGTCTCCACGAACATGCCGAGCTTCAAGAACGGAGTCCACATCGTGCGCACTCAGCAGACCGACACGGAGTTGGAGCTCTCGACGTTCGACCAAAAGGTAGCTTGACCTTGATCTGCCCTTGGATCATTCGAGTGGGCTGACATGCGCACAGGGCTCTGTCATGGAGGTTTGAGTTCTGGACCGGGATCTTGTCTGTCTGTGTCTGATTCGCGGAGAATCTTGTATAGTGGCTTTTATTAGGGACCTGGTTTGTCAGTATCTATTTATTGAATTTATCGCATATGTATACGACACCACTCTCGATCGTTAGTCTTCATGGTCCAAACTAGTGCATCGATTTTCTTGATCACGGTATCAATGACCAGAAATATCACAAGATAACTTATGGGGTTACCTGTATTGACGGGACAGATCTAGAGTCCTTTGTATGACCTGGCAACATAGAACGACACAGTCCTACTTTCTACAGATGCATTCTAGTGTCCTAGTGTCCAGGTAATCAGAGAAAGCACTCCAACGTTTGGCACACTCCGAATCGCCAGGCCACCCACGCAAGAGCGAGCAGCACGAGACAAGCCTTCATCCAAAAGCATTGAGAGGTGCGCGAACTGTCTCCACTCCCAGCCGTCGCCGACGGAGTCTCATCCACGTACCCGATCCAGACCGAGCCCAGGGAAGCCTCCACGGTGATCCGGTCCCCCTCGCCGTCCTGTACAACTCTGCTCGCGGTGTCTCCAACAAGCCAGTGCGTCGTGCGCCCAGCCTCGTGCAGCGGAGCGCCGCACGTCGTTTGTATGCGGGGTGACAGCGTGACGCGGTGGCGGCCCAAGATGGGCGCCCGGACGACGAGCTGGCCCTGTACCGGGTGCGATAGGAAGATGCGGATGTTCCCCATGACGGACGCTGCAGTGAGCGATATGGGCCCGCCAGCGCCAGAATGCTGCATAGGCGCGTCAGTAGACTGTATGTGCTTCTGCACCACTGCGAGCGAGGTGTTCGAGAGGGCCTGCCACGCACCACGTGCAGCTCAATATCGCCCGTGCGCGTCTTCGCTTCGATGTGCACCAGTCGCGCGAGGCGCCTCTTCTCAAGCCGCCACTCGCGTGCCCGGGCCACTGCGCGCGCCATGAACGGACTATGGGGCTTGCCGTCCGCGTCTACGTCGAGGGACGTACCCGCGCCGTCCCCGTCCGTACCACCTAGAGCGATCTCGTCGGCGGGAGGAGGCAGACGCGGCCGCACATCGATGTCCGCGGATATCTGGCCCCACACATTCACAGAGAGGTTCGGGTCGAGCTCCGGCTCGTCCCAGAGGTATGCCCGGTACGAAGGCCCAAACGGCACACGCAGCGAGCGGGGGATGTCGAGGTTGGGGTCGATGATGAAGCGGGCATTCCGAACGCAACCGAACGTATGCTCGATGGAGACGCGGTTCTGTGCGCGAGTGAGGACGCGGTCCTCATTGTCGAAAGGAAGCTGTCAAAGAGTCAATGTTGTGATCACGTCAGTGCTGTTAGTAAGCCCGTTCTTGCCTTGTCCTTCCGCGGTCTGTGGCTGTGCCTCAGGCCGTTTCGAAGAATTTGTCCTTGTGTACGGCATAGTACGGGCAGCCCTTGCTCGCAACTAGTCCGCCTCTTCATCAGCTCTCTCACCGTCACCACTTCCTCACTTTCCAAGCGATTTCGCTTATCGTTCAATATGTCGGCAAGAAAATCTTTCTTCCCTCAGAACTCCGCTCCAGCTTCTGTCCCACCACCTGCGCTTTTCGTTCCTGACCAGTCAAACCCACTACACAGCTCTAGCAACGGCTCTTTCACCGCCCCTTTTGACATCCCCAGTCTTCTCAAGCCTCAACGATCTCAACAACATGCCTCACAGGGACAGCCGCCGTCTCGACGCCAATCCATGAATGCTTCCATCCGGCCATCGACCGGCACTCCTCATGCTCAAGGTCCCACCCACTCTCGCGTTCTCGACGCCCTCAACGCTGCGGGTCTCATCACGCGTCCCGGAACTTCTGACCCGCATAAACGGTCGAAAAACTTCGCGACCCACCGTCTGCCATCTCACGGGCCCTCTGGCGCGACAGGTGGTACTCCCAATGTGATCGTCGCCCCATCGCCGCGCATGCCAGCATCAGCTCTCTTTCGCGAACCGACGGCTTCTTCTGCTGGTGCCTTGAAGAAATCTGCACTCACACCTGTGTCTCAAGCCGTGTCAATGACGCCGACAGGCGAGCAGCCCCAAGACGAGGCGCATATATTCGGCTTCAATGCTGCGCAAGAGCACACAGATGCTTCGAACAATCGTCCCCTCTCTCGCCCTATGCACTCTACTCACGTTCACCCCCATCTTGAAGAGGATAGCGACGAGCCGCCGATGCTGCAGTCTCGATCTCCCTTCCTGCACCAAGACCATGTCAATGCCGGTGTCCGCGGGACAGACCAGCAAGATGACGACGTTTATGAGATTCCCGAAGCCGAGATGCGCGCTCGGGGATCCAACTTGAAACGCGGACGATCCGAGGTCGAGGACGGCGAGGGAGATGATCACGGGATGGGCTATGGAGCTGGGCAAGCGAAGCGGTTCAAGGCCCAGGAGCAGGTGTGTACATCATCCGCCATCGACCAACTGCAGAAACACGCTTGATCTTGACTGCAGCTGGAGGATTTGGGGTACGAACGGATGGCATTGCCCGACCCCACTCATCCACGGCAAGATGTCGAGCACCACCATCAGCTTCAGCATCACCACGATGGCCGTCCGCAGCGTGTTCCCCCGTCGACTTATGTTAGCTACTCCGGTCGTCCTTATGACTCTATCCAGCCCATCTCGCCTTCTCCTCACCAAGAACAGGCTTGCGGTTCAGACCCCGACTCTCATGCGGAACGCGAGCGACCCGAAGCGTCGCCTCTGCTCAAGCTGCTGCGCGTTGAACAAGTTGATCTCCTCTCCGCTGCTCGAGTGGATAAGTATATCCAGTCGACTGAGAAGTGGAAGAATTGCACCCGGGAGGAGTGGATTGCAGGAGCAGATGGTACTCCACTTTCACCTCTTGTATCGTAACACCGACGCTGTGCAGAGCTCATGAGGATGTACACCAAGATCTTCGACTTCGTGAGTCATTTCTGGTAATCTTGGCTATGTCTCTGACAGACACTGCTAGGCCAAAGCTCACATGACGTGTGTATCTTCTACATGTTCTCGGTCTTGCCCTCTCTCATCTGTCTCGCAGCGACAAGTTCCAGATGTTCACTCAATGCGACGACACGCTCAAAGCACACAACGAGGTTTTGAAAGAACGTGATACGCTGCTGGGCGATGTGCGGGACCAGCTTGTCGCGGAGGGTGGAAACGTACTGGCCAAGTGATTCATTCAATCGTCTTCCTGTGCGACGCTGTGTCTTCTGTTCGGGGCCCGGTGGACTTCTGAACTTACAATAACCTTCCGTATACTGCACGTTTCTTGCTGTTGTGTGATACTCCACGGGTCTGAGCACCGCATGTGCAACTGCTGTATCCGCACAAGCTGTGTAATTGTGTGCTAGCTATGTCGAATGCCGTTGCGTTGTGTGCCTGACCGGGCGTCCGGTGTACTTATAGCCTCAGCCACTTAGAGTCACCATACCACATGGGTTCCGACTGCGAGACAGTGATCGATTTCTTGAGCAAGACTATACACACCGGGGAATCATTAAAAAAAAAAGGTGCCCCAATAGAGCTGTTCAGCAGAACCAAAAAATTGATTTGTTTTTTACGAGTTTCCTGGTTGTGGAGTAGACTTTACTTCCCAATTACTTAGGTGTGGAGTGTCGTAGGAATATAACCGAGGCCGAATTTTGACCGAAAAGGAAACATGCCACCGAAGACGGATCTGATCATTCTGCACATGTAAGCAGATTGAAGACACTGTTGTCCTCCATATTGGCAAGAAGACCGAGTGTTGATCAAATATCATCTGTCAAGATGGATGTCGTGATACACATCTATGACTCCATCACGTGTTATCTAGAGTCATATCGACTTGTCCCAAATAGACACAAACAGCCCCCTGTATCATATATAAGGAGGGCTCGATTACCCTTTAATACAGGTCTCTTGACTACTCCTGCATAGTGCCCACACTAAGCTCTCAACTCACACAGGTGGGTTGCTAGACGCTCTCCCCAGTGCTCAACAGGTTATGGGCCCCGAGAGCTATGTCTGCACCTCAGTGGCCGCGACATTCATTGTATGCACCGTCACTGGCTGCAACAATGAGCAGCGTCTTTAGCCTATCTGTATTCACTTCAGCTGCTGCATAGTGCTGGTGAAACCATGCCGGATCGCGATTACATTGCTTGATCCAGATGCATCGATCTCTGAAGGAGATTATGATCTATGAGGATCTGATCATCTTTATCTTTGATTTTATCTATCAGATTAGATTGATGCTGATCACTCACACAGATCAATATGTTGTCCAACTCCAACAACATCTTCAATGCTGTCTCCATCTTTGATGGAAAGCACTGGCTTGTATGGTCCGGAACTATGGAGTCCTACCTGGAGCATCAGGGGATCTCATATGTGCTGACCGAGACCGTGCTGACCGAAGTCAAAGCTACGGATGGCTCTGTGACCAACGCATCGGAAATCAGACAATGGAAGCATGATGATCTCAGAGCCAAAGGCAGCATTAAGTTGCGCCTGACTGAAGGTGTCATCGCTAACATTCCAACCGCCAACATAGTGTCAGCTGCCAAGATCTGGGAGCACCTGAAGACCCAATACAGTGGTGCTCAGTGCGCTGACCTGTGCGCGTACTTCCAAACCGCATTGAACGCCAAGTACAATGTGGGGTTGCACCCGGATCCACAGCTGCTGGTGATCACTACGGTGTTCACTCGCCTGGAGAAGGAGTCTTTGATCATCCCTGAGTTTCTCAGAGCAATGATCATTCTCAACATAGCCCATATTCCCTCTGTCACAGAGACTGTTCTGCAGCCTTACGACAAGGACAAGATCAAGGTCTCGGTGGTTTGCGACCACAAAGCCAGAATCATGTGGCCAAGTTCAATACCAAGCGCAAGCGCAATGACCCTTTGTTCACCAATCAGCAACAGGGCTCTGGCTCTGCACCCGATAAGGGTGATAAAGCTGATGAAAAGAAGAAGAACTGTCGAGGCAAGCACAGTGGGAAGAACAAGGACAACAAGGGGAAGGGCAAGGCCGATCATGGTCATGTCCATGGTATCTCCAAGATCACTGGCTCCCTCACTATCGGTTCGATCACCTTGCTCACTCCGTCTATCCCTGCGCCGACGATCTCGCATGTCACGCACATCTCTTGCGATGGACCCAAAATCCGCGCGGTTCAAGAGAAGTCTCCCGTTAACAACAATGGGATTATTGACACCGAGTTCCAGAAGCCTACTTGTAAGGTCTTCGAGCTGGCCAAGAAGATGGATGTGACAGTGACTGCAGAACGCTTCCGGACTCTTGACAAGATAGTCAATGAGAAAGGAATGCTCCGTGAGGACGCAATCATGCGTTCTCCATCTCCGGTTGCTTCCGGCTCGAATCACACTCTGGATGGTGGTCCTCCTGCCAAACGTAGTCGTATTGAGGAGATCCCTGACGTCAAGATGGCCACCGGCCAACAGAACAATCTTGATCTTCTGTTTGGAGATAGCGAGTTCGCCCAGGCTGAACCAGTCAATTGGGATGAAGTTGTCGACTTCAACGCCCTTATGGGGAAATGGACGCGCCTTCTGCCGAAAGGCAAGTACCCTGCCTTCTTGGGCATATGCACAATTCTGATTGTTGCTCACAGCCAGAGCGCGTAATCACCGCCGCCCCGGGTTCTGTACTCAATTTGTTGATGATTTGATCGCATGATTTTTGTACAAAATTATACTGTGTGCACTCCGATTTTGCTGCCTGCTCTAAGTGTAAGGGGAAACATCATCATCATCATGAATTAGGACCTCTGTGGCTTCTTGAATCTGGTGCATCTCTCCATGTGACATCGGAGATTAGTGATCTGGTCGGATATGAGAAGCACTCAGATCCTATTGTTGCTCAGACCACTGATAAGAACACACGTGTTGCCCTTATTGGTCGAGGAACAGCCTTTATCTCAGGGGACGCCGCGCTCGTTGGGCACGTGACCATGCACGTGACCCACTGCGCCCTCTCTGCCGACCCGTGCCTGCTCACCTGTCGATCACCCAGCCTCCTCCTCCTCCTCCAATCCTCATCTCCATCCATGCCGACATCCGCCCTCTCCCTCCTTCCCCCAGCCATCTCCCTCAAATCACTGCAAGCGGTCTAGCCAAGCCTGATTCCTTGCACCAGGGAGTGCTACTGCCGTATGCACTCCTCCCCCTTCACTTCGGCCTTCTCCCCGCGGATGTGGTCTACTGCCATACAGGCTCGTACCAGATGCCCTTGCACTCATCCGCACCACCCCTCTTCCCAGTCGGGCATTGGTCCTTGCCTCCAATGTCTCCACTGGCTGGCCTGGCACTGGCCTGGCCACTGGGCTCCTCCAGTGTGGCCTTCCACTGTTGGTGTCTCAGGAGCTGGCCATCACTGGCCCCTCTGAGCCACTCACTATCTTATCTGGGTTTGTCATTATCTACTTGTCATCTGCCATTGTTCCATGGCAGTGATATCCCATCATCATCAGTCACTTGTCACAGCTGACTATATAGTGTGACACCTGGGCACATGGATCCTTGAACCGTTCTCTAAGGATCCCCCTCTGTGCTCAGGTGAGTAGTATACCTCCCTTGTATTTGATAGTCTCTAAGGATCCCCCTCTGTGCTCAGACTCATGTGAGGTTGTTGTGTGCTGTGTGCTCTCTTCCTTTGGGCTGGCAGGAGTTGCCCTTACACTTTATCAATCATTACGTCACAAGGCATGGAGAAAAGACTATGGTGACTTCTCAGATATATCCAGTGTACCTAGTGCCAGGATTACATGGTCGTCTCATGTCTTTGGGCTCCTTACTCAAAGGAGGATCTCGTGTTCGTGGAGACAAATTGCGGATCAGCTTACATCGAGGGAAGTCCCCACTCTCGATCATGGAGTTTAGAAGTCTAGGGAGGGACATTGCCTTGTACTTCCTGATGTCGAAGCCTAGCACGGCTGAGACAGTGCAATCCATGTCCACTGTTTACAAGGTAGATTATGAGATCATGCACCGGCGATTTGCACATCCGTCGAAAGACGTTTTACATCAGGCAAAGAAGAATACCAAGGGCTTTCCAGAAGACCTAGTATTTCCCGAGGAAACCCGACCGTGTAAAGGATGCGCGCAAGGGAAAATGCACCAACGTGCCTTCCCGCCTTCCAAAAAACAAGCAGAGAATCCGTTTGATTTGATCCACTCGGATCTCAAACAATTTCCCATGGTGTCTTATCACAAGGACCGCTACTTCATGAGCTTCTTTGACGAAGCACCCTCCTATGGCTGGACAGTATGCCTTGTGCAGAAATCCGACACCAAGCAGGCTATGCGCAATTTCATTGCGATGGTCAAAAACCAGTTCAATGTCACCATCAAAAAGTGGCATATTGACAATGGGGGAGAATTCATGGGGATGGGAATGGAAGAATTTCTTGCGGAACAAGGAATTCTAGTGGAGAAGGGTGCTCCATATGCTCACCAGCAGAATGGGCATGCTGAGCGCTTCAATCGTACGATCATGGATAAGGCAGAAGCCATGCGCTTCACTGCCTGTCTTCCGAATTCTTATTGGGAATTCGCAATAAAACATGCAACACGGATCTACAACATGACACCTATGAGGCGTCTAAAATGGAAAACTCCATTTGAAGCCCTTCACAAGGAAAAACTGGATGTTTCCAAACTCCGAGTCTTTGGTAGTGCTGCATACGTCTTTATCTCTGATGAGAAGCGCGCTAACAAGTTATCGCCCAAATCGGAGCTGATGACCTACTTGGGTGTTCCTGATGGTGTGAAAGGATTTTTATTCATGCGCACAAACAATTCCACGTTTGTCGCCACCAAGGCATTGTTCGACAAGGAGTTGTTCCCACGCTGTCCTGACAGCAATCGACCACCCCACGTTCCTGTTGGAGAGGAATTTCCAGAATGTGATGACCCAGTGAATCCACAAGATCCACCACAGGTAGACAGAGAAGATTGGCTATATGTGGATGATCCTTTTCCATTTCCCATGCCATCTGATCCGGCTCCACCACCTCCCGTACAAGGAAATGATGGTGGTGACAATGGTCATAATTGTCCGGACCCACCGCCAGAGCATCGGGATGAACCTCAGAGGACTCGTAGAAGTAGAATTCCACAACCAAGTCGGGAAGCTTCACCAGCTCCTGAGCCTCAAAGGTCTTCACGCCAGCGGCATGTGCCGACACGTCCAGGAAACGTCTACGGGGAAAAGCGTACCCCTACGGATATAGTCCGTGACAGCCAGAACAGCAGAGGATGGAAGTGGTATGTTGGTGAAGATAAGGGTAGCTCCCAATCTCAACCATCAACCGGTGCTGATGCAGGGGTTCCCGGCCCTAGCTTGCAACCAGGTTCCTCAAACGCGGTGAAATGCTGAGGGCGTGCTCACAGGTGAATCTACTATGAAGTAAACCCAAATAAAAACATGTTCACACTTGTAAGGGCAACCTCGAGACCCGATCTCAGAGTTCTGGCAAGGGAGAATCCAGAGTGAATAAAAGTGGTAGCTAGGTACAAGACCGGTGATAGGCTGGCTACCAGACGCGCTCTGCACCAGCTCTGTAAGGGCGTATTTTTGCGCTTTTTACAGAGT